TTTAATGTGAATTATATGTGTATTTTTTAATTATATTTATTTTCTGTGAATACTAAAATGGGTACGTGGTGAACAAGTGGGCTACTTCTTGTACTCCTAACTTTTACCAGAACTTCTACCAGTTGTAGAAATCGCTGAAGTAGCCCAACGAAAAAAGCTGACCCAGTTTCTGTGGTTAAATAGCATCTATTGTTACACTAAGTTTAACAAAAATTATTCGTAGTTTTCATAAAGTAAAAGCATTATTGAATAGTATTTGGAACCATTTACCTAGGCCATTTCATCCAGAACTCAATTTCCAAATGTAGTCGCTAAAATCTCTCCATCATTGGGGCATTAAAATCTCACTAAAACCCTTGGGGTGTTTGAACCCTACCTCTATAAGCAATACCTTAATCAAATGCCCTCGAAAGACATCAAAAGATGTAAACAATAGAAGTTCTTTATGTTCACATTAAACTGTATAGCAACATTGTCCAAATAAATGCATAAACCGGGTGGGTTTTATAAATATTCCCAGAAATTTCTAGGCTGATTTCCCTTTCCATTGTCTTCTTTCTCCCATCGAAAGTGATAACGAGCCCACAGGTGATATTATCCACCTCTTAAGTGCCCATAAAAACTCTAAGTCACCGGGGAGCGAGAATCGCTCTGGTTCCCTCGCCGAAATCCTGACCTACGAGACCCCTTCTTCATCTGCTGCTACTTATTCGACGATCGTAAACCCGATTCTCCGCGGTTCCATGTGAAGAGTTCTTGGTAATTTTCACCACGGCTCACTTAGCATTCTGTATGCCCAATTCTCGCGGGTTGCACTTACCATTGCTGACAGATGATTTCTCGGGAACATGTGGATAGATCAACCTACTCCTACGAGCTGAAGGTCGAACTGCTATCCGGCGATTGAACTAGATCTGATCCCCGGCGAGATCAGGTAAACCCGCTGGCTCTACCTGAGATTCCCTTGAATTTCGCTTGAGATTGGTTAACTAAACACTCGGCACTCGAACAAAAACGAAACAAAAAAGCTGATTGTGATTTTGGCAACTTCTGGGGCACTCAAATTTCACTTTTATCACCGAATCGCCAGGGATGCTGTGCACACGTGTGCGTACATGTATATTTAATATCTCCGACTGGATCTCGATTCAAAAAAACCGCCGACGAGCGAACGCAGAGTATCTGAGTACCTGAGTATCTGAGTATCTTGTAACTGAAAACTCGAACTGCACATGCGCGCAGGCGCCCACGAACTGAGCGCTGGCCGTGGAAAATGCGGCAGGTAAGGCCAACTGCCAACTGCGATCGGCGATCGGCGACCGGGAGAGAGAGAGAGAGAGAGTGAGTGCTAGAGATAGAGAGGGGGCTAGTGCTCCGGAAAGAGAGATCCGAACGAGATTTGGCGGGAGAGAGCGGGATCGTGACGTACGGAGACTGCGCGGAGCGTACGTGAGCGGCATCCGCTCAAAGGCCACATGCAAATGTTGCAAATATCTGTGACAACGACTGCGGCGGCAGAGGAGGCACTTCGCCGACTTTCGGCCCTGCTCCGCGGATCGGGAGGCACTGGGGTCACCATCTGGACCCTGGACCCTGGGCTGTGGGCAATGGGCCCAATGGAACGCGGCTCGGGCCTTAATCTCGCCTGGGGGCACGGCTTCCTTGCAACACACTGCGATCGAAACCCTGACAAAAATCTGATATATATTGAAGTGATCATAGCAATATCATTATCATAATACGTGGGTTGTTCTCGTGTTACAGTTGATACTTTTGAAGTGTTAGAAATATCGAGTAAAATAAAATAAGAGCAAAGGTGTTTTCACCTCAAAAAAGAGAGGTACACAAATTATTCGAGTTTCAGTTATGAAAAATGACCCCTTTTGTCATATCAAATTTTAGAAACACACAAGCACTAAAGTCACGCAGGTCAAGGAGCAGCTCATTTTAGCAACTGACTACCCGAAAATTGATATGTTGCTGATGATTGTGGCACTTGGCAAGTCAATCTGGTGGCTCAAATGGCCACCCTCAGTGTGCCAATTCCTTTTCCCCACCTAGTCAGGAAAGTTTTCTGAAGATTTCCTCAATTACGGGGGGTTTTGCAACATTAGCAGATCGATGGATTGGTAGAAATGGCCATTCCAACAGCCCGTTACATCGCTTACATTCGCTTGAGAGTTGACAATTTTCTCGATTGCCAAATCATGATTACAGCTCATGGCAGTTACCCAACTTGAGCTCGGCTTTGGATGGGATTTTACTAGGAAGCTGATGCCACTGCCACACATAATCTTAATGGGCCTGCCGTACAGAGCAGCTCGCATAATTGTACAACATTTAAATGTTGATCTTGACTGGCAGAGAGTCTGCCCAAAATGAGATAAAAGATATAATAGCACCGACAGAAAACAAAAACACAACGAAAAACGCATAAAACGTGTAAATGTGCAAATGACATAACGAGTACAAGTCTGCGCTGGCTTTCAAATAAAGATACAATTGTATCTGGCCATTTATCTCGGGTGTCGCCACCCAAAAGCCAAATCCCCCAGCCCAAAAAACGAAACCCAAATGTTCGCACGCAAATGCTTGACGATGCGTCGATTGTTCCTCCAGTTTGCACAAATGAAAGTGGTCAACAAGGGCGTTCCACTGTTCGAGCTGCAGGATGGGTAACGGATACTCCGCGGTGACCCCGATACCCTGCCCCAGCTACACTGCGAAAAGTAAGAGTGCAGCAAGTCAATATTTGCGCTGGGCACGGCCTATTACCGTGTCAATTATGCAAAGCGAACCGAAGCAAAGAAAACAGCTGCGATTTCGCGGATAGTATTTACTAGCTTATCAGCTAAATATCTCTATCTCTTTATCCTACCAGCGAGTTGAACATAGTAGCTATAATTTGTTAGTTCCGTGCATAATTTTCCCAATTCCTCGATTTTCTTCTCGTGTTCGGGTTCGCAAACCCAGTTAACTATGATCGTTTAGGGCCAAATGGCAACAGCTTGTGTGCCAAATGGCACTATGCACGTATCCAGGGTTTTATGATTGCGATTTGGATGGGGATGGGGATGGGGATGGGGATGGGGATGGGGAGGGGCCGTAGTCATACGTGCCTGGACTACTGCCTCCGGCCAGCAAATTTGGCCAGACTCTGGCCTGCTTTAATTGTCGCCGCTGAAAAAAGGCATTTTAACGAGCTACGCGCATGCGCAATTGTCCAACCAAGCGGTGTCGCCGATGCTCCGCGTCTAGCCGCCACTTTTTATGCAACTGCTCCGGGCAGCGGACCGATCCGAGCCCAATTGCCTCAGCGATTGCGCTGGCGCCCGGTGAGAGACTTTCACTCATTTGTGAATCCGAGTCCATCGGTTTGCGCCGGTAACCTGCGCATTTATCGCATTCATTGCAGGCCCCAATGCCCCCCACATCCCACAGCCCACATCCCACACCCCACACCCACCCACATCATCATCAGCTCTTGACCCGTGCTCCACCATGCGGAAGTTGATTACCAACTCGCCGAATCACCACCCACTGTCCGAGCCACCCGGCGATCCAGCTCTCCCAGTCGCCAAGACACGGAACCACCAGATAACTCGGCTATTTTCATTCATTATCGCCGTGAAAACCACGGCACGTGATTGAATGCCAGTTTCACGGCGGGTTTAAGGGAGCTGCACATAATACGTTGCTTATGGCGTGGATTTATCAAACCACCAATAACACAAGTGGGGTCAATACAAGTTAATGGACACAAGGACATATAGGGCTTATGACACAAATACATTTTGCTTTTCAACTGCAGTTTCATAAATATATAAAATCTAGACTTTACCATTCCTTCGATTTGTGGTATATTCATAAACAACAATTATATAGGCTCTTAGAATTCTACATATCAACTGTAACTGCCTTGGGTAAATGAAATCATAAAAGGGAAATAAGTACCAATTATTCATATTCATTTGACAACGATTAGATAATATTCGGGGAATCGTCGGTTGATTAAAAAAGGCTCACCTACGTGTATTAGTTTTCACTAAATAATACATAAAAATCAAAACAAAGTACAACAAAAACTGAACTAATAGATGTCAATAAGTTCAAAACCGGGAAACAATAACAACTTCACAGTACATTTCATCAATCAATGACAATTTAGTTTAATACAGGTCAAGATCAATCAGTAAAATTTAGATAAGATATGGTTCCAGGAACAGTAAAAGCCTGTAGACGAGGACGAGGAAGTGTTATTTTTCAATTATGAGAGCTGAAATACACAGAATGCTTCCAAAAAATCGCATGCTAAAAAGATACATTTTTCAAAAAGTTATTTCAATTCATTTAATTTCAGAAAATTAAATCGACTGCCGGTAAATCCCTGTATTAAATCTATAAATGCCAGCCGGAAAATAGAGTGTTCTGGGAAAGATGAATGCAAGTAGCTAAGATTAGATAATGTTTCACAAAACTGACATGACGAAGTTCAATGGACAACGAAATCAACATACTTATCCGAAGAGCAGAAGTATCTTCTGAATGGTGTGACTCGAAGTGCGGCACTCCAGCCGTTAACCTTGATTTGTGATTACCAAAATCGATCTGGCGACATCTTTCCGAGGCTAATTTGTCACTCGAGAATTGGTCAAACTGAATCGTTAATGACAGGCGATAAGATAGTGGAGGCCTAATGGGATCCCTTCTTATCGCCGCGATGGATAATGCGAATGGAATTGAAATTGAAATTGGCGTCACTCGCAACCACTTGACAACCCCTCAAGATGCCAGATATGATTTCCAATAAATTAATAATAATTAAACTAGAATTTATTCACTCCAAAAAAAAAAAGGTAATCACACGTGAAAAAAAAATGATGTAATGAAGTAAATAATTGCTAGGGCTCGATTAAATGCTTTGCTTTTATTGCTCCGCCTCAATTTCAGCCAATTCAACGGGCACACCATCCATCATCCGTTCCCGACTGGCATCCCCTTTACTTCATTGCAGTGCAGTCATAATCTGCGGAGCAAACGCTGTTGAAGGGATCGAACTGCATCTCGCCAGGACACTTCTTGGTGTAGCCCTTCAGCTCGTCCCCGTCGGCGTAGCTGCAGATGATGAAGTGGGTGCAGCTGTTCGTGGGGAACATTCCGGTGGTGGCGCACACATTGTCCTCTTCGGTGGTTTCCGCGTCATCGCTGGTGGTCACGTCGCCGCTTTCAGTGGTCTCGGTATTGGGCTCATCGCTGCTGGTCTCATCGGTGGTCGGCTCGTCGGTTGTGGGTTTTTCTGTGGTGCCAGGAGCATCGGTGGCTGGTTTTTGCGTGGTGCCAGGTGCATCGGTGGCTGGTGCACCGGTGGTTCCCGGAGCATCAGTAGCAGGTTTTTCCGTGGTGCCAGGAGCGCCGGTAGCGGGTTTCTCAGTGGTTCCAGGAGCGCCGGTAGCGGGTTCCTCAGTGGTTCCAGGAGCGCCGGTAGCGGGTTTCTCAGTGGTTCCAGGAGCGCCGGTAGCGGGTTCCTCAGTGGTTCCAGGAGCGCCGGTGACGGGTTTCTCAGTGGTTCCAGGAGCGTCGGTGGCGGGTTTCTCAGTGGAGCCAGGAGCATCAGTAGCTGGTTCCTCGGTGGTGCCAGGTGCCTCAGTGGCTGGTTTCTCTGTGGTGGAAGTAGCCGCCGTGCTCTCAGGGCTCTCGGTGCTCTCAGTGCTAGCATCCAGGCTGTTTGGCGGAATGGTGGGGTTCTCGATGTTGCTATCGTCACGAGCCTCAAACGCGGAAATGGACTGGACGCACTGGGCCAGCGAGGAGCTGAAGATCAGACCAGCGGGACAGCGCAGGAAGCGCATGGAGTAGCCACCGTTGCCGGTGGACTGGCAGGCGTAGAAGTTGGGTGTGTTATCCACTTGGGCGAAGTAGCCGCTGCTGCGACACAGGGATTTGGCCTGGATCGTTGAAGGAGCCAGGATGAGGGCCAGGCCCATCAGCATCGTTAGCTTGAACATCTCGTTTGGGGTTTCGTTTTTCGGCACTTGGTTCGACGGACTAACTGGCCGGACAATCGGACCGTCCCTTTTATAGCCAGGCCCAATCTTCTAGATGGCCAGCGATTAGCTGATAAAGACAGAATTCGTTGGTATGTCGGTGGTGGTGGCCAAAAGTCTGGCCCGGTGACTAAGCTTCAGATAAGGGATCATTATAAATGGCAGCCCGGCCATATCGTCTTGCCCTCGAGGAAACGTATATCTTTCGTAGTGGAAATTCCCATGCTTGGGCTTCTTTCAAACCCATTGATCCATTAATGAAGTCCGAAAATCCCTTAAAAGTAAGTGGTAACTTCTTTACAATTCCGCAGCAAATAGTTTCTATTATACCACTTGGTATTTATTGATAAGTAGACGTGTACCTTTAAGATATATAAAGAGATATATAAGGATATATTTAAAGATTTATTTAGACTGCAATATTTGTTCACCTTATGTTAACCTTATAAGGTTAGAAGGTGTAGGTTTTCTATTGAAAATAAATTTGATTTGAATAAGAATGGATACCGAAAATGGCTTTCCACATATTGAATACAAGCACATAATTTTAAATATTTATTTACACCACATAGCAAAAAAAATAAACATGTTAACAAAAAAAGGAAGGATAATTTCACTAGACTAGAGCAAGGGACCAACATAGATGGAAGTGTTTATCTGAAGGAAAGGAGCTCGACGCTCGGAGCGCGGAACTCGGAGGAAGTTACTCCGCGGACTCGGCACTCTCGATGGAATCGCCCTTGGCCTCGGCCTTGGCCTTGTCCTTCTCGGCCTTCGCCTGCTGCTTGGCCTGCTCCTTGGCCGCCTTCTTGGCGGCCTTCTCCTCCAGCTTCTGCTGCTTCTTGGCCAGCTTCTCCTGCTCCTTCTGGGCCTTCAGGCGCAGCTTGGCCTCGGCCTTGTACAGCTTCAGTTCCCGCTTGATGGCAGCCAGGTCGCTGACCTCGGTCGCCTCTTGTCCGGGCACAATCTGCGTCCAGTCGTAGCGCCAGCATCCACCGATCAGGGCCTCGAACCTCTGGCCACTGGAGCAGCGCACAATGAACTTGTGGAAGCCGCCCTGCAAACTGGCCACGCAGCTGTAGTAGTACGTCTCATCCAGTCCGGCGAATCTGCCCACGGCCAGACACTGGAAGCCCTCATCCTGGCACTCGGCCAAGTCCCTTACGCATCTGCCCAGGCTCGGCGAGAAGATGGTCAGTTCCGGGCAGGAGAGCTCGATGTCCTGCAGCTGTCGCAGCACGGGATTCAACAGGCAGTTGTGGTAACGGCTACAATCGCCACTGATGTGCGGAAACAGTCCTGCCGTCTGGCATTTGAAAGTGGGCGGGGTGGGTGCAATGGTGATGCCTGCCGGTGTGGAAGGACTGGAGCTCTCGGGTTCTGCTGGAGAGGAAGAGCTGGAACTCTCGGACTCTGCAGGAGCGGTAGTGGTCTCCTCGGGAGCGGCGGAGCTCTCCTCGGGTGCGGAAGTGGTCTCCTCGGGAGCGGAAGAGCTCTCTTGGTCGGCTGGTGAAGTTTCCGGCACAACAGTGGTGGTCTCTACATCTCCAGATGCGTTCGTGGAGGTCTCCTCTTCGGAAACGGTGGTTTCCTCATTGCCAACAGTAGTTTCCTCACTCGGTATGGTGGTGTCCGCCTCCGTGGTCAGTTCCCAGCCACCGGATCCGCTGCCCTCCTCGCTTGGCTGAATGGTGGTGGTGGTGGTGGTGGCATCGCTCCAGGGCTCCGACTGGCCCACATCCTGGGACTGCGCCGAACCGTCGCCGCTGAGCGCCAGGATGCCGCAGGACTTGGTCAGCAGCTGCAAGTTAGCAAATGGTCAGGTATCGGCCTAATCCTCGGAATAACTTGGGTCATCCGGTGAAACTTACCAAGGCGGCGCAGAACAGCAGGACTGTGGTAAGCTTGGAGATTCGCCGGCCCGTCATCTTGCGAACCGTAAAAGTGGTTTGTGTGGTTTCTCTAGGTGCTGTGGTCGTTGTCATCGTTGCCAGTGGCTAACGTCGGTCGATCGTTGTGTGAGCTGCTAGCCGAGAATACGGCCGATTATATAGCTGGCCGATCCGTCGGGGATGCTGTGGTGGCTGGCCTTATCGGGCTTAGCACCTCTCACCTCCTCGGTATCTGTGGCTGTGTCCGTATCTGTATCTGTAACTGTATCTGGCAGATAGACAGGCGGCCAGATACGTTCCGTATATGGTGCAAATAAAATATCTGGCTGTTTTTCACCCCGCTCTGACGTCGCTGGATTGTTTTTGGGGTTGCAAAATACAGTTGTAAACCCGCACCACACATCCCCGCGGATGTGAAACGGAAGTGTGTAAAGATAAGTGGCTAAATCTGGGGGGAGGTCAAGTGGGCGTCATGGCAGCTCCAGATAAATGTGTTTGTCCGGTCTTCTTCCCTTCGCAGCTACTGCTTTTGCTGCGATCTTCCGATCTTTCCAGTGGATAGCCATAACAATGGTAGTGACGCATCCGAGATCTGCGAGCCATGCTGACATTCGATCTTCACTTTGCTGCGCAGCTCAACAGTTCTTTCGTTAGAAATGATCGTTTGAAGTTTGTTTGAGTTTGCAATCTTTTAGGACTCAAATTATTTGGCTGCTCAGTATAAAATAAGTACGAGTTAAGCTTAAATGATTATTATAACTTATGAATAGTATAAAAATTATCTTTACAGGACTACTTCCATTGATAAAAACTAACGAAGAAATCGCTGACACTGATCCCCATTTAAAGAAACCGGAATTTTGTCGTCATTATGAGCTATCCTATCACTCAAAGAAACTCTGTGATGTACAAGTTAATCGCATGCTGACACCTTATCTATATTTTTCCCATATTCCCCTTCTGAAATGCAGATCTGAGTCACCTTTCTCGTAATCTAAATCGCATTGAGCTCCCAAATACCAAGATTTGCTCATCATAACATGACAGATAGAACCTTTGGATCGGGAAAGTATAAGCTCGTAGTTAATTAATTAATAGCAACAATAGTAAATAGTAGTCAATGAAGAAAACAACAATTAAAACTAAATTCTTAACTCCGATTTAAATAGAGGTTTAAATAGATAGATATGCAAAGCCTTACTAAATTGGATGGATACTATAATAAAATATTATTTGTTGGCTTGAGCCAAGCGGTTTATAAAATACTTAATAAATAGCAGCATATATACTATACTATACACTTTAGAATCAAATTTAAAAGCGGATGACTTAAGCCACAACCGGAACCTAAAACAAAAATTGCTATTTTATTTCGAGCAGAAACCTATTTATTTAAAAAAGAGGCGCCTTTGAAACTGGAATGCTGTGTAAAAAGTTATGAGCTCTACCAATGCATCTGCATCTAATGGATAGTTCTGAACCGACAAGCGCATATCTACGTTAGAGGTCACCAAAATAGATACATATCCCACGACTGGGAAGTATGGTCAGTGAGTGAGATTGTTTGAACACCAGACTAACGACATAGTTTCGGATCAATCGGAACCCGGGTGACCTCGATACCCTAAGTGGCCTACCACCAGCCACCCGGTGTCTGTCGATCTAGGTGTACAGTCGTATATGTCCAGCCCAGTACCCATTTATCTGCTCCAACTGGCGGCCATAAACATAATCCGTCACTGACGCCGGTGCGCGCTGACTGAATTGCAGGCAAACGCTTTACATATCTGACGTTAATCTCACGGATACACGGCTATATGGATACACGGATACGTAGATACGCAGATACAGTTGTGCTGTGTGTGGACAGAGATATCTCTGTGGTATATCTGGTATATCGTGATAAGAGGCCCGATGTTATCAGCCTGCTTCTCCGGCTCTCCGATTCTCCGGTTATGGGTCTCTGGTCCGTATCGTTCGTCTGTGCTCCATATGTGTGTGCTAGCGCCCATTATCTAAACGGTTTTTGGGGTTTGGTGAATGATGAATGCCAGCGGCTAGACGGAGTGCACACAAAAATTCCAAGCGCCCAGCGAACGGATACGGATCAACTCCTACAGTTAGCCATCCAGTCAGTCGTCCATCTAGCCCACGTCCAGCAGAGAATACAAATACATAGCTGCACATCTGTATAGCCAGCTAGATGGCAACCTCAGCGATCGGCGGGGTGGGTGTGGGTGTGGGCGTGGGCATGGGCGTGGCTGCCTCCAATCCAGTGCGACGACCCACCGCCAGAGCCACCGCCGGAATCCAAAGACGCAGGGTGGTCAAGAAGCACATCCAGCAGAAGTACATGCTCTGCGGCTTCGCCATACACGTAAATACATGGTATTAGACTTCATTATGATTCCCTAACCCCGTCGAGATCTAGGCTTTTCTGGCCACTCCCGCCTATCTGTACGGGAATGTGGTGGAGTCCGACAAGGATCTGGTGATAAGGATCTGGCCGGCTATCGTTTACCAGGCCACCGGAGAGATCTGCCGCTCGATAATGGAGCACTTGGACACAGAGTACAGTGGCAGATCGAGGGAGACGACGCAGTACCGAAGGGTCTTCCTCCTGGCCACGCTCATCGCCTGCGTCTCGCTGATGGTCAGTGGGATCCTGTTCTCCTCCGCCTGGATCGTGGTCACCACCACCACGCAGGTGGTGGCCATTGTCTTCTACGGATGCTTTGCAGGTAAGTTACCTGGGCCTCAGTCATCCGCAAACAGTTTTGCCTAATCTGTCGTCTGCAATCTCCCCAATCCAAAAAGGCGGGAAGCCACAAAAAAAAGTATAAAGTGTACAGTTGTGCTTATAAACATAGTTGTCTACTGAGTCTATTATTTGTAATGCACTTTTAAGAGAAGGTTTTGAATATTTTTAAACAAAATACCCGTGTATTGAACTACGACAGTTTCATCGTGATAATAAGCCAATATACATATTACATATACGTATATTGGTGGGCGGCATTATCATTTTGCATTCCTTATCACTCCGACAACTTATATTTGAATTCTATAATTTCATAGTTGTAAGCTGCTATGTTAGTGTTAATTAAAAAAATAACTTGATATTTTTCAACCTGGAAAGACCACAGAAACACTACATTCTATCCCTTACCCAAGGTATCGGCTCCAGCTTGTACCTGTGGAAAACGCACGTCATCCTGGAGGCAGTGCGTCCGCGGGAGGACAAGTACGTCCGCAAAACGATCCACCTGTGCGGCGAAGCCTTCTGCCAGCTGTTCCTCTCGTTTGTGTTCACCAGCCTGCGCACCCTCTACGGCACCGCCCAGTCCATCGTGCTGATGTCCGCCCTGCTGGTGAACCTCATCCCGCTGAGCCTGATCATCACCAAGCACCGCGAGGATGCCTTCACCACGAAGCGGATATCGGTGATCAAGGCGGAGACTGGTTTCGCTGCACTGCCGCTGCGAGCCGCACTGGCGGCCAACTTGGTGGCGGACCAGCTGGACGGATTGGACACGCTCTCCTGGCGCAATCCGGCCACCACTGAAATGGCCACACCCAGTAGTGCTGTCGCCGCCGCCGTGGTGGTGGACACCCACAGCAACTACATGCTGGCCACCGACGAGGCGTACGTGACGTATGTGAATCCCAACGGGGTCGAGATCATGGAGATCATACCCGAGGAGGACGAGACGGTGTCCATGATGCGGTCGAGCAATGCGACCATCGACAACTACGCCATGTCCGCCTCGCAGACGTCGCACAAATCACTGTCCAATGGACTTCTCTATCCACTGACGCCACAGCATCCGTTGGCCACGGGTACAGGAACCGGAACAGGTAGCTCCTCACCTCTACCTACCGACTATGCCAACCTGGTGAGTTGACCGCATGCTTTGTGGAATAGGGCTTTCTAAACAGCATTAATAATCTCAAACCAATCCTTGTCTACCTCTTTGTCAGCGCCGCATCCGTCGAATGTCCCGGGCGGTGACCACGCACCTGTGGTGGAACCTGCTGGACAAGATCGCCATGCCGCTGCAGCAGGCGCTGCTGGTGCCGCAGCTGTACGCCACCACACTGCTCCTCTCAGCGGACATCTTCAGCTACGTGATGTGCCTGACGGTGCTACCGGGCCTAGCTGTGAGTCACCATGCGCTAAAAAACGCCGAGATCCCTTTCCTCTTCTCCCTGCTGGCCTTCCCTTGGATGTGCTTCTCCCTGATGACTCCCCGCTTCGGGACGAGCCTCTACAAGCGGAAGCTCCAGTGGCACACGCTGGGCAGCATCTGCAAGTGCCTGGCGCTGATCTGTGAGTCATGATAACCGGATCAAGCTTACTCGAGCCATCAGTAGATACTTCTTTGTTTCGCCCCCAGTCATCAGCTTCTCCACCTCCAAGCTGCTGCTCAGTGTGTCCGCCGTGCTGCTGGGATTCGGCCAGGTGGTGACCGCCTTTCTGCAGGAGCTGGTCTTCCAGATGGGCATGACGCGAGCCAACTGGACGGCCATACGCCGGCCGGTGCACTTCACCAACGGCCTGCTGGTGCTCCTCTGGGGCGCTTTGGCCCACTGGGTGGTGGAGCTGTACTCCTTCCAGGCCACCGTAGGACTGGCCGGCGCCCTCTACGGAGCAACCACGCTGGTCTGGAACTTCATCTTCTTCTGCTGCCAGGGCAAGGATTGAGGGACTGAAGAATTCGCGCGGTTTCACGCACCAAGGCTTCCAGCTCTGTAACTGTCTGCGTGTGGGTGTGTGTGTGGGTTGTGTGCGTGTGTGGGTTTGTGTGTGTGTTGTGCTGTGGCTGACGTTGTTGTTGTATTTGTGCAGTGATATTAATAAATAAATATACAAACTACAAACTAGCAGAACTCTGCTTGCATTTTTGATCGTTTTACCGCTCTTGTGAATTAGACTTTTGAGAGCAGGTGAACCTAAATTTTAATAGGCATACTTCCAATTTGAAGAAATTCAATTTTTAAAAGCCGAGACTGACCTTTAAAATGGGCTTAAAGAATGTCTACAGAAACCAATATTTTTTCTCTAAGAAGTGCAGATTACTCAACTTACTGATTGCGGACGTATAAAACTGATTTCTTGATAAAACTAACTTTATGGAATATGAGTATTTCCAATGGGATATTCTAACTGTTATTTGCTGCGTGATAAAAGCTGCCTGCTATCTGTGATATCGATACTTATCGATATGAACAAGCGTTAGGCAGATATCGATAATTCTGTTGGCATTAAAAAGCAATCGATACTTATCGATGTGAACAAGCGTTAGGCATATATCGATACTTCTGTTGGCATTAAAGAGCAATCGATACTTATCGATGTGAACAAGCGTTAGGCAGATATCGATACTTCTGTTGGCATTAAAGAGCAATCGATTCTACGGTCATACTAAGCCAGTACGCTATAAATGTCAAAATTTTTCTTTCTTTTTACAATTTTCATATGCGACTAGCATTGCAAGTTTTCCGCAGCCGAAAAGTGAACAAGTGAAAAAGTGTGAAGTGCATACCAGCTGGGCAAGCGGTAAGTGTTTGTTGCTAGGGGGAGTGCAAGGGGCATACAGTGCGCTGGTGTAGCAGCGGGCGGCATTTTCCGGCGGCCACAAAAAAACGCCGACAAATGCGCAAAATCGGCATTGAGTTTTTTGTACCGGCTCGGTTTTTAAGTTTCTTCTTGTGATTTCCGAAAGCGAATGCAATAAAATTCAATCTGATTGCATCTTACAGCAGCGGAAGCGGTAGCGAAGACGCATGTCGCTGTCTCCCGAGGACGCCGATTTGTCCACCAGATCTGCACACGAATCCGCATTCCGAGTCGGAAGCAATGGGTCGCCAGTCGGAGTAGACGGTTCGCCAGTAGGCCAGCGCGTCCCTCATGCGGACTCACATTGCAACACGATCCCAAGTCGGAAGAACACACTAGTAACGCCAAAAAGGTCGGAAGAAGCAGCAGACAACGCCGCAGCGGCACAACTCCCTTTGGTGGAGAATCGAGGACTCACGCCATTGTCGTCATCGCGCGTTAATTCGCTTGGACCGCACTTATTACCAGCTGAGCCGGCATCCGCCACTTCGACCATCAATGCGTACACCTGGCCTCCATCTTTCCTGCTCCAGCGCCAGAATTACCCGCCAGTGTTGCCGCGCTGTGTTGCAGGTCCGAATCAGCGTTACTCTCCAGCTGAATCGCCATTACCTCGTCTCCAGGAGCTGCAAAACTCTCAATTGACCGATTCGCCGCAGAGACTGCGATTTCCTTTCCCCTTGCTAGGCAACTCTGATGGACCTATCTTCACGCCGAACTCCAATCGTAGAGTCGGTTCACTGATTGACTTTGAGCAAAACCACCAGCTCACGTATCAGACCCAGCAGGGCAGCCAGCAGCTAGCATCGGTCAATCATCAACAAAACGTTCAACTCGTATCAAACCGTCAGCCGCTATCCTATGCGGTCCATAACCAAAAACACCCGAATGTAACCCAGATTCATGAGCATTATCACCAGTCTATAGCTGAGGCCCGGGACGAAACCCACCAGGTTGTTCTCGGAATTCAAGTCAAAAATACCCAGGTGCAAGACCAACACACTGTTACACTGGTTAAGAAACAAAACAACCACATAGAAACCGAGACCGAACCGAATACCCATGAGCTAGATCAGATACTTAAAAATGAGATCCTGGAACAGAATCACCAGATTGTAACTGAGGCTGAGAAGCAAAATCGGACTATAACCAAGATCCAGGAGGAAACCCAGATTGTCCCCCAAGCCCAAGAGAAAAATCTCCTGTTTGCATCTGAGATTCAGGAGCAAGACCAACAGAACGTAACCGAGATACAAAGCCCCCAAATTGTAATTGATATCCAGGATGAAAATCTAAAGTTCGCATCTGATAATCAGAAGCAAGATCAGAGGACTATATACGAAATCCAGGAGAAAAAGCAAACGATTGTAAGCGAATTCTCGGATATCAGGGAACACGACCAGCAAACAGCCGAGATCCAGAAGGAAAATCTTCAGTTTGCAACTGAAATCGAGGAGCAAGATTTGCAGATCGTTACTGAGATTCAGCAACAAAATCATAAGGATGTAACCGAGGTCCAGGAGGAAAGTTTCCAGTTTACTTTTGATACACAGAACCCAGATCAGTCGACTGTATTTATTGAAATACAGGAGGAAAATCCGCAGTTCGCATCGGATAATCAGGAGCAGGACCTGCAGACTATAACCCAAATCCAGGACGAGCATCTCCAATTCGCAACATATATCCAGGAGCACAACGAGCAGATATCACCGGAAGACCAACAGGAGGATGAACTGGAAGAGCCACAGAACCTGATTGTTATCAAAGAGCAATGTGCGCAGCTTGCATCTGATTCCGAAGAGAACAACCAAAAGCTGACATCTCAGTTTCAAGAGATCGACCAACAGCTTAATTTCGAGCTCCAGCTGCAAAATCAGCTGGGTGTGCTAGAGATCCCGAAGCAAAACCACCAATTCGCATCTGGGGTCCAAGAAGAAAACTTGCAGCCATCGTCTGTATACCAGCAGGAAGGTCAGAGACTAGCAGCTCATATCCAAGAGAAACAGTATTGTCAGCAGGAGCCGAACATCCAATCGAACCAGGTTTATTCTGAGATCCAGGATAGCCAAACTGAGGTCGAATCAGCAAACGAGATAAACAAAGTCCAACGGGCTGGTGAACTGCAACATCACACAGAGCCTACTGAAGGCCGCCAGCATCAGTACTTGGCTCCTGTGAACGAGGCACCATTGCCGCCCGCTGAAGCTCGACCACCACCTACTCCAGAATACTCTGATATATCAGAACCCGCTTCACCTGGGCATGGTGAGGTGATAGATCCGCGCACCGAGTGTATTCGCAAAACCTTCAAACTCATTCGCGAGATTAACGATAGTTTGATCGCCAATCCAGAGCAACCCCAAGCCCGAACCCACCGCCTGTCCATTTTGCTTCTGCACCAGAAGCTGGCCGATATATGCCATAAGATTCTAAGCGAAGCTATATACGGCCAGGCCAGCGAGCAGAGCATATCCCTGCTCAGAGAGATCTTCGTGTGCAACGAAGTCGAAGATCGACGCTCCACGAAGCAAAGAATCAACAATCAAGAAATTTCAATGGGCTTAGAAATATTGAAAAGGCTCCGTGACTTGTTATCCGGTTGGTATAATTCCAAAGAAAGTGAATCTGACACCGGCGAGAACGGAACGGGACTCGAGGCTCGAAGCAGAAAAGGTCGTGGAGCCGATCGCCAGCCGGAAACCAGTTATTTGCCCCGGAAAAGACGGTAAGCTTCAAAGTCCTACCAAAATGTAAGATTCTGTGTGTTTTTTTTTGTATTATTATTTATTTAAATTTAACTTCGCGAACTAACCTATGGAAGACGGAACTAAATTTGACAAATAGAGTAAAATAATCAAAAATGTTAGGCATATTACTCACATGTAGAGATTTCCACTAATATTTCTTGTCTTCTTTCAGCACCCAGGAAGAGAACCCTCGTCTGATCAAGTATCGGCGTGTGGACAACAGCTTTCCCCGCTATATAACGAATGAGACTGCTGAGGACCTGATTCCCAACAAGTCAATGGCCGAGCGGGATCAGCCACAGAGCTCAAGGCGGCTCTCAATATTTAATTCGCCGGTGTACACGCAGCACCGGGTGCGTAATGAAGCCCCCTACATACCAACCCCATTTGACCTCTCAGACGATGAGGAGCCGTCACAGACATTTGCCAGCGCCGGGCCATCAAGCAGGACCATGACTTACTCGGATGCGGTGCGTCTATCACAGAATGGCTTCGGCGAGTCCCGTGTAAATGGGCACTCCAGCAATACGATGCGCAGAGCACCGGCTCAGGTGGAGAAAAGCATTCTGACCCACGAGATGGAGCGCATGGAGCATGAGCAGTATAGTAACCTTATCCATACCGTAGCGCACAGCAATTCCGTGGGCCGTCACTTCGTCAAGTCGGGTGCCCCGCCGCCACTTCATCGTATTGACCCCCAGCCGGCAACCTGGAGCTCCGTACTGCGTGGCAACCAATCTCATATAACCAAGTCGCCGTCACCAAGACAGGCGAACCGTGAGCTAACGGAGTACGCCAAATTGATCGACCGCAAGGCGAAGCAGGAGAACAGGACTCCTGCATCACCGCAGCTAGCGAAAAGCCCTAGCAATAGCGTCGCCAGCCATGCATCCACTATTTCCAGCAGCGGATCCTCTTCCAGCGGTTCCTCTTGTTCAACTTGCTCGTCTTCAGACTCTGAGGATCAGACTACTTCCGCTACTGATGGCTCGGAGGACAAGAAAGCCAAGGAAAGCAACAAAAGGTAAATGCTTTATACCCAAACTTAAATTCCTTGCAGTAATGCAAAATCCTGATTTTATCATCCGTTAGTGTTGCACCACAGCCGTTAGACACCAAACCTACCAGACTGCCCTTGACAGGTTCCTTGCACCGTCGTTTTGCCAACAGCACCTTCCTTAAGAAGGACTTCGCGGAGCAATTTAAAGCAAGAGCGGCGCTACGTGAAGAGGAAACCAAACATTTTCTTGGAATAGCAGAACAGCAGTATGTGTTTGTAGCGCTATAATTGGCACAGATACCCAAAGTTTTTTTCTTCGAATTTCAGGGCTATTCAAAACAGAAATGAACGCCGTGGCTATGAACAAAAACTGCGGGAAACCATATTCAATTATCGCATCCCCCACAAGCCCATTTTCATCCTCGGGTCCCCGGACAGAAAAGATGACAAAGTGACCAAGCTCATTCCGCTAACAAAGGAGCACGACGATCGCTATTACGAAATGATGAACAAAAACCCTTCGACGGTAGGCAAATGAATATATTGATATGTGTGTTCGTCGTACCCATTTAAAGCGATCTGGTATTCGCACTTTAAAATCTTATTTCAGGAGCTCGTTTTTAAATTTAACCTTCACATAACTGTCAAAGACATACGCACTCTTATTGATGGAGAATGGCTTAACGACGAGGTCATCAACTTCTACATGTCCTTGCTGACAGAACGCTCGGAGAAGCGAGCTGGCGAACTGCCCGCCACTTACGCCATGAACACATTCTTCGTGCCACGCCTCCTACAGGCTGGACATGCGGGCGTTAAGCGCTGGACTCGCAAAGTGGACTTATTCAGCAAGGACATAATCCCTGTGCCAGTGCACTGCAACGGAGTACACTGGTGCATGGCCATCATTCACTTGCGCAACAAGACCATCCGTTATTATGACTCCATGGGAAAGCCGAACCAACCAGTGCTGGACGCTCTAGAGAAATACTTGCGCGAAGAGTCACTAGATAAGCGCAAGAAGCCGTTTGACACCAGCAGTTTCGTGATTGAGAGCATGCAGAAAATACCACAACAATTGAATGGTAGCGACTGCGGGGTCTTCAGCTGCATGTTCGCCGAGTATATAACGCGTGATGTATCGATCACCTTCTCCCAGTCGGAGATGATTTACTTCCGCAAGAAGATGGCTCTGGAGATCGCCGACGGAGAGATGTGGCAGTAGGCATCCAATCACACTCCCTCTCATTCAAGTTCAGCTAAAAAGATTTCTTTTTATATTATTAGAAATCTAACAAAACACTCCAAGCATGAATTCGCAAAATTTACTTAGCCATCTAACGATCTCTTAAGCGATTGAATCGAGATGGCTAAGATATGCTGGTGCATAAACTTGTTCTCACATCTGAATGTAACAGAGAAACTAGTTATTCAATAAAATGCTACCAAGTAAAATCAATGCGAATAAGGATGTATTAATCGCCGAATATCTGAGTTTACAATTAATATTTAAAAAGAGCAAAGCAGAGCATATGCACTTGTAATGTCCAATTCAATATTTTTAATATACTATTCATAACTCTAAACTAGGAATTACTCGATATAATCTTTTTCTTACATTGTCTTATGTTTTCTACAAACTTTTTAATATTGTTTATCATTTAGATGAGAAGATCAAAGTCGCTGATAAATGAATACATACTAATACTCCATTTTTTTTAAATTTACACATTTTTGCTTTTTTGTAAGAAAAGGTCGCGATATTCCTATAAGCTAGCTAATTGATAAGGAAATCAATCTTAATTCAGTATTTTTAATAATGTAAAAGCTTATTAAAACAAATGCTGCTGTTTATAGGTAAATTTGGGTTAATGGTATAAGTTTTGTTTTTGTAAAGATTTTCTCATACTCTTCGGAAGTAGTAAGCCTTAATATTTCTTAATCTAAGGTATATAATGTAATATAATTTATTTTTGCAGAAGGAGCTAAAGAGAAATATATATTAAAAAAAAATATACGAAAATTCTATGGTGCTTTATTACCTTGCACAGGGAGAAGGATACAAAAAAGGGCTCGACAGTTCTGGCACTTCATATTGTACCTTCGAATCTCGCATAATACATAAATAAATTATTCGAAAGTTTAAACTTCCTGTAAAGTCTCATTGAAACGACCTGTTTACTTAGCTTTTTTGTCTTGTATGCTGAATTTTAAAACAGAAGCCCGCTAAGGGCGAGCAAACAGTGTGACCCTGCCAAAGTGCGGACATAACGGTATATAACGGCCAATGTGACCTTGCCAACCCAAATGGCCAGTAAGACCAGGCCGCGCATAAAAGCATCAACTGGGAACACAGCCCGCGGATTAGCAGCAGTTGCGAGAGAGGCGCGCGCGCGGTCACAACTGGGCGACGGCAGCGTTTGGGGCATGCAAATTATGCCAAATAGCACCATCGACGGGAGCACGAGCAGTAGCAGCAACGCCAAAGCCAAAGCCAAAGCCATCGCCAAAGCCGACAACCGACCACAAAATGCAGCAGAGCACCGGAGCGGCGACGTCATCCGCGCCAGATAGCGGGATTGGGGCGACGGACCTGGTGTCCAGGTGCGGTGGCGACGGCGGCGGAGGTGGCGGGAACAGCTGCTCCGGTGGATCCAGCGACCCAGCAGTGGTGAGAGGCGTTTTTCCATGGAGTTTCCCAAAGTTCTTGTTGTTATTTTTTGTATTTTGAAGTGCTCGTGCGAGCCAGTGTGTGTATTTATGGTTTGTTTGGCCTGGCCAAAAATTATATAACTTTAAGCGGAGGCAGCGCACGCTTGGTGCCCCACCCCTCCTCCTCCATCGCCTCCACCCACCATTTCGCCCCGCTCCTCAGCAAAAACTTAGTGAACTCGCACAACCACCGTGCGGGGGTGTGTGTGTGTGCGTCCGTTTGTATTGGTGTGTGTGTGTGCGAACGTTTTATTTTCCATGCTCCTCGGCTCGTTTGTTGTAATTTTCCGCAGCCAGCGCGCATGCCGCCCCCTGCCCCCTCACTTTATCACACCGAAAATATTTTCCAATTGGTCCAGATATCGGCAAAATGCTTAAAACCATTTTCGAATTCAGGCCTCAGAATCAGTTGGAATCAAAAAATCACCAGCACGCTGTTCAAATACTAGGAATATATAGTTATGTTGGTTAGTTTTGGTATTCAAGCCAATCACATTCCTTTCGAAACCAATATCCTCTCTTTTAAACCCAAAATCCTTTTTGATTTCGTTAACATTAATGCCGATTCCTAAGATAGCCTGGAATAAAAACCAAAATTTGTTGGATTTACTAATATATGTGAACACATTAAACGCATTTAAATAGTACGAGTAGTATTGGAATTTGAGAATCACTTAAATGTAAAGAACTACAGATGCTTGATTTATAGGTCCGGCTGACTTTTGGAATTTTTGGAAAATATTGAGCTAATGAAAAATATTCTCCGTGCACATTTGCTACACGTTTTCGCATTTACTTAGTTTTTCTCGCTGGCTTGCCTAATTTTCGAAATGCGTGTATTTACACAGCGGCGCTTGTTTGTTTGGTACTCATTTAATCATTTATTCGATTTCGATTTCGCCATGTCCTTGTGGAATAGCCACCACCACCCACCCATCGACCCAGCAACCTTTGGCCCAGTTCCTTGGCGAGCTGCTGGCTTCCGGTGTCCCGATTCAATCGCAGCACATATTTCATTTCATTTCATTTCTGACGCCCGGCCAACTTCCCATTAACTTTGAGCTAATTAATTTTGGCCAGCTGGCTAGCTGGCCAGTTGGTAATGGTTACGTCAGGCGAGGCTCGTCCATTTTTGGTCCTTAATCCTTTGCTGCTTCGCAGCGCCAGAGAGAGATAGAGCTAGAGAGAGCGACTTTGAACTGGAGAGAGAGAGAAGGAGAGAGTGTCCTTGCCACCCCCAGATAGCATTCATATCCTGCCCATCCTCGCCCCCTCGGCTGCCCAGCTCAAGGACTTGTTTATTTATAACTCCGGCTCATCCAGTATGGGATGCCAGTATGGATGCCAGGCGAACCGCATCCATTATTCAGCCGGATCGCATAGTTTCCGCCTTAATTCGCTGCGCCCCATCGTTCGCCTTTTGTTTATTGATTTATTCACACGCCTTCTGTTTGTTTTTCATTTCTATTTTTACCTTTATTTTTAGCGCTTTTTCGTTGTTGTGCATTAACCAACCCGAATACCCGACCAAAAACTACAGTCAGGTAAGGGCTGCCATTCCATTTGCCTCCATTGCCTCACTTGAGAGGTGAAACCACTGTGGTTCTGGGATGAAAGAAGTCACACAGTAAACATTTTCCTGGAACAAGTTGCAAAATGCACAAAATAAGGGTATTTACGCAAAATATCCCCTTACTGATTACCACCTTTAAATTTGAATTCAAAGAACGAAGAACCTCTTCAAAAAATGAAGAGGTTACTCCAATTCAAGTGTAATTACTATTTTTTCAACTATCAATGTAATTTGGCTTAATTCAAATAATTAAATTAATAAGAAAAGGATACATTTTCCAACTACTCCCACATCCCGTATTTCGCACATCCTAAGTTTAGTACGCAGTGGTTTTGCATCAGATCAGCTGGATCCTAATGGCCCCCACTCCTTGCAGATTAACACAACGATTAGCTCCAAGCAGACGGATGCGATGGAGCCGCAGGAGGAGCAGGTGGCCATCCACTACCTGGCCAGCTTCCACGAGCTGTGCGTGGTGACTGCCCTGCTGCCGCTGGTGACGCTCTTCACGTGCTTCGTGACCGCCTACGTCTTCCAGTACGACGATGTCCACGAGACACATTGCCGCGTAAGTAAATGGGCTCTGGGGGATCCAGGGGGGTCCAGGGGGCGAGGTGACTAATGTCCTGGGCTGGGCGCGGCAGTTAATCCCGTGGCCGACAAATCACTGTCATTCCCGCGGGCTTCCCGCCGAGATTGGAGACACGCAAATCCACTTTTGCAAACGATTCGCTCACTAAACGCATTTATTTTTCCCAGCGGTCATTTTGATGAATGTTTTCGGCAGAGGTACTCTAAACTATGGATCATTGAACAATTGAACTTAAAACTCTTGATGTTTTAATATTTTATCTCCTCCATGCTGAAGATACAACTTGGGTTCATCTAGCATATTTTGCTGTGCAAAGGATATATTCATTACTCAAAGTAGACATCATTTAATAGAGTGCTTTTATTACTTACTTATACCTTGATGAATTGAATGATGAATTATCCCTTCTATGAATTGAGAGCATTCACTTTGAGGGAAACCCATCCAGATCGAGGGCACCTTCTACCAGACCCTGAGTCCGCAGATTAACCTGTCTCGCATTCGTTTCCAGGTCTACAACATTATACCCTCGATAAGTGCAATTACCGGCGTCAGTCCGCAGCGTTACTTCTGGCGCTTCAGCATCGCGCTCCACATCGGACCGCGGATCCCCATCGCCTTCGTTTACAAGAACTACTACCGCTCGCAGCTGCGTCGGATCAGTCCCGCCCAGGTGCCTCAGACCAGCCTGCTCATCACGCTGATCCTGGTGCTCAACTGCATCGAGATCGCGTCCCTGGGCGGCGTCACCTATATATCAAATCGCGAGAACTACCGTAGGTCCTGCCCACCCTCCTCCACACCCCTGATTCCTCTGATCCGTCCGATTAACTCTTCCAGCCGTTCACGAGCGCATCTTCATCACGTTCATGGTCTGCTCGCTGTGCTACATGCTGGCCACCATCAAGCTGAACGGCATCCTCAATGCGGGCCAGGCGCTGAGCGAAAGGCAGCTGCTGTCCATCAAGTGGAAGAAGATCCTCTTCGCCGTCTCCATCCTGAGCACCGTCGGCCTGCTGGTGTTCTTTGCCAAACATCGCTTCTACTGTCACGACTTGGGTGCGTATTAAGTGTTTATTCGTATTTCCCGCCAGTATGAGTTCGTTTTCCTGCCTTTGTGGCACTAGTATTCCATTGTCTTAGTTTTGTGATACGGATACAGATACAGATAATGCATCTCTACTCTACTTTGTCCCTTGACAGCCTTCAGTTGGTTCGCGTTCTTCGAGTATTTGATCGCCATCGCCAACATGCTGTTCCACTTCACCATCATCTGGGACTTCCCCTCGCAGTTCATGATGATCGTGCAGGGACCCCGCGAGAATCTCGCCCAGTATTTGAGCAACAGGCCGAAGGTGGACTAGATTCGACCAGGACTGGATGCCGCCAGCACGCCACTTCTCCAGTTTACAGTGCCGTGTTATTCCCGTGCGAAACGTACAATTACGAACTTCTTCAACTTTAAAACTAAGCGCTTCCATACCGATCAACCATAGCAAACTTAGCCTTCTTCTATTTCTTCGATTCTCTTGACACTTATCACTTATCAAACCAAAACCAAAACCAAAACCGTAACCAAAACCGAAATCCAGAGATAAGGAAAGTAATACGATACGAATCCAAAATGTTCCATAGTTCCACGATTAATATAGCTATTGAATTTAACAAGTATGTAAAGAAATTGCCAGATTAGAGGGCATACCGTTCTATGTACACATTCTAAATACGTGAAATAAGTTACCTAGGGATTAAGTGCACCCAAAACAAAACCAAAACCAAAAGCAAATCAATCAATACCAAAACCAAAACCAAAACCAATGAATCGCAGCTCGCCAGATCTCATGTCAATTTCGAATCGAATCCAAGGAGCCAGCCAGGGGCGACCAGTTTCATTTGTTAGGCAGTATAGTAACTAGAAGTCGCATTACTTACCACTTAGTACATATCGTTTATACAAGATGATAACGAGCGGCGGGAAATAGCCTCCTTGGGACCGGCCCTATTGGCCCTCCCCAGAACAAATAGAACCAGGACATGATTGTAATAGACGGTAATCAGACAATAGACATTAAGCTGCGACATTACTGCAGGCAACGAACAAGGACCTCCACAGATGGCGCTGGTATGGCCTCCAATTGAAAACTAAACTCCAAGGTAGTAGATACTCTACCCATTGTTGCAAAATCCGTCACTGATCGCGGGATTGTATGATCTGACTGGCTGTGGAGGTTCAGCTTCTGGTGCTCGCGATGTCAGAAGGTCGGTATAAGTAAATGTAGCATAAACAATTGATCTTAGCCAACAATAATAGTGAAATGAAATTCAACAGACGGAGCAATCCGCCGCATCCGCGGTGGCTCGGCGATCGGGTGAAAACTAGAAGCCCATAGGTAACCGAATTGTAAACCAGACTAGGGTCAATATATTTTGCAGCAACGGAGCTGCGTAGGTGTTTTCTTTCTACACAAGAGTACGTAGTCCAAATCGAGGAGAGTTCAAATTGATATTGCTACTCGGCTAACTTTATACCATACACAGCAGAGTCAAGCGGAAGTTTTTATTCCATAAGTAGTATTACTACCATTATTATGATTGCGATTGCGCATTGTATGTGCGAGAGATCGACGTTTTAGGTAATGCAATACCCTGTACGCCCCGAACAAGCAACCAACGTAGCTAAGCCAATGAAACAATTGTTAATTCTCACACAAGAACGTTATTTGAACGGATACTCACTCACTTGAAAGTTATGTAAACTCAAGCTCACACCCACTCATGCGATTTGTTATGCAATAGTTGAGTTGCAGTTGCACCTCGCGATCGATTAGTTTATATACATATTAGTTGTATATTCGAATTATTGTTAATATGTACTTACGCCCTGCATTCGGCCCCCTATATCTATAGCTCTGTCCCGCTCCGTTCCGATTTCCGATTATGTGCCTCTCTCTCTCCCTCGCCCGCCCCCCAGGATACGTACTTCCAGTTGCATCCGATCCGGGTGCGGACTAAACTCTTATATTTACATATACATAACGCGCTTTATATATACCGCTCACCGGCTAATCTCCAGTTATTTTATCCGGCAGAGAGCAGCTGCTCTAGGATGGTCACTTTTTAAAATGCAACATTTTACCTTTGCATAACTTTTTAGGCGACACAACGTAAGAGAATTAATTAAAATGGAAAACAAAAATTAACTATGAAATATGTAAACTTTGTAGCTTCCTAATTTGAATAAAGATTAATACAACTCACAGAAATGCCGAGACATTTTCATTTTGGAAGCACTTAAGTATATTTCTCGTTTTCACGTACTTTGTTAATTATTTACAATTTATAGTAGGGCATTACACATAAATGGTTTCTCAAGGTGTGACAGATGCAACACATAATACTAGCACATATATACGGTCAAGAGTCAAAGTTCCGAAAGGCGGCTGTGTTCAAATTGTGTGGGCAAACAGTGGTCAAGTTGGAGACCGATTCGGGTTTGGGTCAGGTGCAGCAGCCCAAACAAAAGTGTGTGGCTAGGACCTGTATATATGTACAGCTATTATATGGTGGGGACGATGGGCGTGGTTGGGGGCATGGTTCGTGGGCGGTATTAGCGTTTGGCTTACAATTAAAATTCAGTACGAGTCTAAAAGCTACGGCCGATGTGTGAGGGTGAGTGTAAGTGTGTTTGGGTATGCAATGCTTAGCATAAACACCTGAACAAAGGTGTGCGGCGTCTCCGTGTGCGCGTGTGGAGAGGCTATCCTTATGTCTACGTGGTTCTTGCGTTTTATTGTTGATGTTGCTGTTACTGTTGCTCCTGTGCTGTGCTGGCTGTCTATATCTAGTCCGGCAGGTCAATGCTGACGAACGGAACTACTGGCTTGAGGATGTCATTCTTGGCCCCCTTCTTGCCCTTCTTGTCGTGCTTGCCGAACTCGTGCAGCTGCTCGCTGGCCGCCATGCTAGTCGACGACGACGCTGCGTCCAGCGGCATGGACTGTGCGACATTGCTGTGGGTTTCCGGGTGGTAGCTGATGTTGCCGTATTCCTGCAGGAACGGCATCGCGGACAGCAGGAACTGGCTGAAGGACTTGCGGATGCCGAACCACCACATGTTGCCACCCTTTGCCGTGAAGCTGAGAATGATTAGCGACATAATGGATACGAGCAGAGGCGAAAAGGCGACGATGTACGGGAACTTCAGCTCGCCGTCCAGCTTGTCGCAGATGACCACCTGGCGGAGTAGATGAGTTAGTAATGCAGAATCCTTAAGAGGGACTTAAGAGGGATGAGGACTCACCTGAAAGCAGAGCAGTGGGAGCACCGTGCAGATGTTGCCCACCGCTGCGTTTAATGCCGCCTTCTTCTGCTGTAGCGAGACCTCTGGCGTACGCATCATGATGCCACAGAATATGATGTTGTACAACACGCTGACCAGACTCAGGCATATGACGATCCACATGGGCACGAACACCACGTCCCAGTTCCAGTAGACAAAGCGATCCAGCTTCAGGGGCAGTGAGACAAACTGAAGCGCGTTGACCGCCAGGAAAAGCTCCAGCTCGAAAGAGCGATCGTGCTTGACGGCCCACACACAGGCGCCCACACTCACCACCGAGCCGAAGATCAGCGGAATAAAGACCAGCACCCACAGGTGACGGTCCGAGGTCAGCTTGTCGCAGGCCAGCAGCTCAAACATCAGCAGGATCAGGTGCAGGGCCAGCGAGATGAGCATCGCCTTGAACTGCGTGTAGGCGTCGCCCTCTAGCCGATAATGGGGATACCGACACCACACAATGGCGCCCACGATTGCGCCCAGGATGGCGGTACATTTCCATATCCACAGCGGTGTGAAAATCGCCCAGTAGGGCCAATCTGGAATAAGGCACTCGATTAGACTAGGTTAATGTTCCTACAACAAATTTATCTAAGTCCTTTAAAATCATAATATTGATCATAGCTATTAAGTGTAATAGAAATCTGGAATATTATAATTTGTAGAGACTCGCATTTCTAGATTTTCTAGAAATGGATTTCCAGAGATTCCACAGAGAAGTACACACCTATAAAGTTGTCCAGGCGCAAGGCGAAGAGCGTGACAAAGGTGAACAGGCTGCAGTGGACGATGAATTTGCTGGAAGAGAACATGACAGATTAGGGATTGGAACTCCCACGCGATCCGGGCGGCCGCAGTCGGAGGCTTCTCACCAGGGATTGAAGTCGCGGAACAGAGATTCCAGGTTCATGTTGCTGTGGACACCATAGAGCTATGGCAATGGCAAGCGCGACACTGGACACTGCTTTGTACCTGGACACTAGTTGCTCGTGGGCTCCCGCCGCACTGCGTCCGCTCCTCGAAGCGATCAGCTCCCGAACGGGGTGTGTGTTATGGGGAAGTGGGTAGAGCAGTTAGTACTCTTGCGCCTGTTGCCGATCTATCACCCCTTTCCCTACTTATATTCTCTTCTTTGTTTTATTTACACACTTTTTTGACTGGCATGTCTGTCCCGAGATTCGATAACGATAACTCCAGCCTGCTCTGACGATTGGCTTGACTGCGGTACTAGCCAAATGTCTGGCTACAAATCGCCAGTTTTCGGCTACGATAGCCTGCTATCGATAGCCACGATAGGCCCAGACAAATGTTATCTTGTTATGAGGATTTGCCGGAGAAAGAGGACGTGGTGCAGGATTCAGACTGCTGCGGCAATGGCTGCACCAACTGCATCCTTGACAACAAGCCACGGCCGAGCAAACGCGTCCTGCTGGCGGGAAAACGCAACGTGATCCTGAGCTACACCAGGTTCCGCCTGTTGCGACGGGAAGCGCTGGAATCTGGATCGGATGGTCAGGTGCTGCTCCTGCACTTTGCACACGCAGCAGACGAGGATGGCGAGGCAGCGGGGGACGCTGTACTAGACATTCCACCCGGTCACCATGTAATGCTGCGCGTCGGCTCCCTGCTGCGTCCGTATTCGCCCTATTGGAGCGACTTTTTGGCAAGAGAGTTCCGGATCCTGGTGAAGTTGGTGCCGGAGGGACCAATGTCACAGCACCTGCAAGCCGTGCAGCCCAACGATCTGCTAGAGTTCCGGGGTCCCATCGGGCAATACGTACACAACCCACAGCCGGCCAGGTGCATCTATATTATCGCCCAGGGAGTTGCTATTGCACCCACTCTGCCGCTGGTTCGGCAGGTGCTGGACAACGAGGAGGATATGAGTCGCCTGTGGCATTTGGTGTGCGCCCGTGATCTGCAGCATGTCTACTTTCGCAAGGAAATGCTTGAGTTTGCGCAGTTCTGGAACTACAGGAGCTACCTCTACCTTCCGCATCAGCAGTGTGACACCACCGCTTGCCAGGAGGCGGGCCACTGCGCCCAGGAGTGCCCACAGCTACGGCACAATCTTCGCTACAAGGAGACGGCCAAAGTGTCCCGTTTAGATGCTTCCGAACTAGCCACCCATCTAAATCCCGCGATCCCCGGACAGCGCGTCCTCATCGTGGCTGGAGATTCAAGTTTTCAAAAGATCATGGCTCAAGTAGCAACAGAATCATTGGACGTAGATCCGGCTAACATTTATATGTTGTAAATGCGAGGAATAATTGTGGGTGCCTTTAAATATTTCAATACATTTTATGTAATTCGCCGAGCCATTCTTCTTCTACTGTATTGCCTACATTTGCTCCACTTCAATAGCACCATTTTGAGTGAATCTTTACTTATCGCTGCTGAGTCTATTAGTTTTGGGCATCAAGGTACGCATAATGACCAAAATTCATCTATGAATGATAAATACAATTCTTTCTATAATAAACTGCGATTTACCAGTTTCTTTCTACCTTCTGTGTTGGAATGTACTTGCTTGAAATTATTTATTTGCTAGTTTAGCTCCCCTACTTTAGAGAACACTAGGTGAATGGTAGTTGTATTCAATAATTCTGATTCAGAGTCAAAGGGCGAAACTGACCAAAGGACCCAAGGATCCGAACTCGATATTCTCCAAATAAATATAATATATATAAATATATTATAATATAATATATAAATATATTATAATATAATATATATATATATTATATAAAATTATATATTATATTAAATATATATATTATATATAATGAAGAGCTTTCGGGTTGTTCTCCTCTGTGAATGATTCATCAGCCTCTAGCTCGGAGAAATTATTAAAAATGAAAATGCTAAGAATTTAAACTGCTCAATAAGAAAGATACAAGTTTTCCTTTTCAAGTAAACTTTGTGTTACAACAGAGCAAAAAAGCAGAGTTAAGTGTAGAGCTCCGGTCCAGTTCCATTATAAATTGTCAGTTTTTAAAAGGGAGTCGGGCTTCGGAGGTACTTAGTCGTTCAGCTTTAAGCTCTTAATGTAATCAATGATTAGTTTGGGGTACACATGTTTGATTTCCTCAGAAGACACGGCACCCACCAAATAGGACCTCTTCCAGGTGACGAAGAACATGACCCAGTCTTTAGACTTGTAGCTGTGCAGCACCTTCTCAATTTCTCTGCCGCGGACCAAGCCGGAGTGCTTAGTCCTAGGCGTCACGTTACACGATTGGGCCACACTGCAGGTGCCTCCGCTAGCGCATTATCAAGCAATGAAGTACTATACAAAGAGTAAGACAAAAAGTAAACCACAGGAAATCCTAGGATGGAAAATAGCGGCAAGCTTCCGCTTGCTGGTGCTGCCAACTTGGGTAAATTAGCGTTACCGAGGTTTGCATAATACCCACGCTGCACCGATTTAAAATATCATAGTCCGACTGCAATGAAGTTTTCGCAAATGGCTCTGAACGTACCAGAGTTTTGTTGTTTTACCTTTGAAATTTTCATAGAATAATCGACGATTGGCGAGGATGAAGATCAGCACGGAGAACAGGGTGACCACCCACTCCATGCAGCCCCTGGGCTCGTTCTCCGCTGCAAATAGAAGTTAGGAAAACTTGAAATACCTTGTGGACAACTTTAATTAAAAAAAAAATATATGACGTTATTAATATTTTAAACTCTGGCAACGCCCTTCATTCAAATCATAGGTTGGTCTTTGGCCAAGCGGCCTGTGCGTCTAAAACTAAGTTGTCGGACTTCCCCGGCGATGGCTTAAATTCCGGTGGCGGGCCCATCAAGTGGGCGTATTTGGCCAGGTACGGAGTCAGCAGCTCCATGGGCAGAGGGAAGACGATGGTGGAGTTCTTCTCGGCGGAGATGCTGCTCAGTGTTTGCAAGTAGCGCAGCTGTGGCAAAATATTCGAATGGTAATCAGTGTTTAGCGGTTGTTTTCTGATTTATTAGGACAACACCCACCTGCAAGGCCGATGGACTGGATGAGATGACGTCGGAGGCCTCCTTGAGCGCTGTGGCGGACTTCTTCTCGCCCTCGGCGGCGATCACCTTGGCACGAGCATCACGAGCGGCCTCCGCCTCGGCGGCCATCGCACGCTGCATGGAAACGGGCAGGGAGACGTCCTTGCTGCAGGCGGATGGAGACCATACATGTGTACGTGTGTAGAAATGCGAATCTGGGACTCCAAATGCCTTGCTACTTACATCTCAACGCGCTCCACCATGACGCCCCACGGCTCGGTGGCCTCGTCCAAGGTGGCCTGCATGTTGTGGGCCAGGGTTTCGCGCTCGGTGAGCAGCTCGGACAGGTTGCGAGTGCCGACGATGTTTCGGAGCGTGGTAGCTGCCAGGAGGCGGGTGGACATGCTGAAGTCTTCGACCTGGATGACCGCGCAGAGGGGATCGCTGATCCGATAGTAGACCACTGCGTCCACGGTGACCGTCACGGAATCCTTCGTCAGCATCTCCTGCTGCGGCACATTGAAGGTGACCGTGCGCAGGTCCACCTTGCGGTACTCATCGATGCACGGCAAGATGAAGAACATGCCGGGACCACGCGCTCCGCCGCTCAGTCTGCCCAGCCGGAAGATGATCGCCCGCTCGTACTCCGCCACCACCTTGAAGCAAATGAAGATGGCGATGGGCGAGGTGATGATGAAGATCAGCACGGAGAACAGGGTGACCACCCACTCCATGCAGCCCCTCGGCTCGTTCTCCGCTGCAAATAGAAGTTAGGAAAACTTGAAATATTCGTTTACAAATTGGACATTTAAAAGCTAAGATAAGGCCACCTTATTTCGCTGACCAAGTGGAAGCCCGTGTATCTCTAAGTGCCTTCTTAGTTCGAATTCCGGAAAAGCCACCTTGTCATTGAACTATGGATTGCACTCTAAAACACTAATTAAACAAAAGGACTAAAACCTTAAAGGAGAAAGAACCGTGTAAGGATAACAGCCACCAACAACAGCAATTGAACCAAAAAGCCATCGGATAAACACCAATACGACGTAATCAGTTCCTTATCTTGGGCGTCAATAGAAATTCCTACGATTAAAACATGAATTCAAATGGCAATTGCAATTGATATAGACAAGTGCGATGTGTGCGATAAAAAAGTAACAGACTAGAGTGCTGTTGGAATCAACTGAGGATTAGATGGGACTACCATGACAATCAAATCATTACAATCTGTCCCGAAACAGCGAGATTTTTAGAACTCCTATCTACCAAAACGAATGTGAGTACGCAAGTCATTTGTTTAGCGAATCCTATCAACAGAATCCATCAATTGTGCATGTCTAAAATATTATTGCGTTTTTTGAACTAATAAGCAACTACTCACGCGATCAATGCGCTGTGGCAATCTTATCTGAACCCGCGATTCCAAGAAATCGTATCTAAATCGATCTCAACTGATTAGAGCTGGGCAGTAAGTAGAATTTAAATCGGGTGGGCGGAGTTCGAACAATATGGTTTCCAACTAAATGCGTGTATTTGCACTTTCAGAATCGAACGATTATACCAGGATCCTGCTGCATCCACATAGGTATCCACATGTATCTATGGCTATGCCGACTTCGCCCGCTTACATGTCTTGAATCCGCGGTACTGCTGAGTGGTGCCGGGCACGCGATGAGCCGGCTCTGGTCCCATTCCGGCGGATCCCATGTTGACCATGTAGGCCGTGGAGCTGGCCGGACCGGAGTTGCGCATATCCTCGTAGTTGGCGTACACGGGCGAATCCTGGTGCGGCTCCATTGCTGGCTCTGTGCTGGCCTCTGTTCGCTCCTCACCGGTCAGCTATGGACTCGAAACTGTCGCGGCCAGCGCCGCCAGAGCCAAACTGAATGCCCCAAAGCTTTCTCACGTGATAAGAGCGCACTGCTCTCCCGGATACGAAGTATCGCATTGGCATTATCGCTCCGCTGAGCTGCCGAGCGGCTCAAATGCGCGGGGAAACACTGTGTAAGTCGAGAGCCATGTCACCGGTCACCGGATGACTCACTGCACTGCTCCGAAAGAACTCCCAACTGGAGGCGTACTTCAAGATTACTGCGCCCAGCGATCAATGAAAGCTGGCAAAGCTCTGTCTCCCCAAGAACGTTCGGTGTTTAATCAATCTGCTATATCAGCTAGAGCTGATAAAGACGCAGATCTGGTTGGGGTCACGGGGTTACCCCGCCCCACCATTGGAACCCGGGCGTGACTCGGGGACATTGGCGCTGAAGAGCTAATCTGCCACACTCGTTGAAATGGCACGCAAATCCGTGTCGTTTGTGTGCGCCATTTAGATAAGCGAAGACCAAATATTGAAATGTAAATATAAATACAAAAGTGTTGGTGTTTCGGAAAAGGGGAAGAACTGGATATAATGTGGTTTGAATCATTACTTGTTTTATTTAAATGGTTGTTAGCCTTTACCCAGTTTTGTAGATATCTATAACTATTATTAATTCATTGGACACAACAAATAATATTGGTTATTTAATAATACATAATATAACGCCTCTGCTTGCAACGACTATGAATAAAGTAAGAACGACAATAAAAATGCTTGGAAAAGCCTGGTGGATCAATCAGATGATATTGCATACTAAAACGCGACTATACTATAGGATAAATTCTAAAAAAAAATTATTTTTACACCGAAATATGTGAGAATCTCCTCAGTATCTTGGGAATTCCATGGCACTTTCAATCTTTCGAGTTTTTCGAGTTATTTGGCGACTCGACTCATTTTCCGGGATTTTCCGGCCAGTTCCGCTTTCTGTCGCTGCTGCCGCCGTTCCACTAGAGCAAGAAACCCACGATGTCGTCATCGTCATCCGCTGCTCCCGCTGCAGCCGCTCCGGTCCGCCGTTGCTTCTGCTTCTGCTGCCGCTGCAGCTCGCAGCGATGCAGTGCCTCCAGATATGGCTGCAGCACCGACATCGTGCGTCACTGGTGGTGTTGGTGCTGGTGCCGATGGAGCGGCGTGCCAGGTGCTGCAGGATGTTGCTGGTGTTGCTGATGCTGCTGCTGTTGCTGCTGCTGCTGCTGGTGTTGCAGTTGCAGCTGCTGCGAGTGGGCGTGGGTGTTCAGGAAGGGCGTGAGCAGCTCCATGGGCAGCGGGAAGATGATGGTCGAGTTCTTCTCGGTTGAGATGCTGCTCAGGGTTTGCAGGTATCGCAACTAAGTGGGAAAAGTGAATGAAGCGAGTGGTGCCAGTTGCAAGTGTTCCTGCATTAGATCGTGACTCACCTGCAGGGCAGATGGACTGGCCGAGATGATCTCGGAGGCCTCGCGCAACGCCCTCGACGACTTCATCTCGCCCTCGGCGGCAATGACCTTGGCTCGCGCCTCCCTCGCCGCCTCCGCCTCGGCGGCCATCGCCCGCTGGAGGGCAGTGGGCAACGAGACGTCCTTGCTGCAAGCGGATCGTGCATAGTGGATTACAGATTATGCATCATGACTTTGGGCTGGCTACTCACATCTCCACGCGCTCCACCTTAACGCCCCAGGGATCGGTGGCCTCGTCCAGGGACATCTGCATGGTGTGCGAGATGGTCTCGCGCTCGGTCAGCAGCTCGGAGAGATTCCTGGTGCCGAGCACATTGCGCAGCGTGGTGGCCGCCAGGAGGCTCGTCGAATGGCTGTAATTGTACACCTGAATGACCGCCTTCAAGGGGTCGCTGATGCGGTAGTAGACCACCGCGTCCACGGTCACCGTAACCGAATCCTTGGAGAGCACCTCCTGCGGCGGCACATCGAAGGACACGGTGCGCAGGTCCACCGGATAGTAGTCGTCCACGCAGGGCAGCACAAAGAAGACTCCGGGACCACGGGCTCCGCCGCTGCGCAGTCGCCCCATCCGGAAGATCACCGCGCGCTCGTACTCGGAGACCACCTTGAAGCAGATGAACACCGAGATGGGGAAGGTCAGCACCATGATCAGCACGGACACCACCGTGGCCAGGATCTCCACGCAGCCCATGTCATCGTTTTCGGCTGTAAGATGTGCAAAAGGATTCCGATATAATATATGTATGTAGAAACAACTTATATAACTCATGGGTACCACGTACTCTGACCAACCAGTCATTTGACTGAAGAATTCGCGCGAAACGTAGACTTTTTGTTTATTAGCTGGTCTATTTGTTCTAAAACTTTGGCTTCAGCTAATGAACTTTTCCGTAAACAGTCGATATACAAATAAATAAATGATTCATTTTAATCAGCGGCACTCGTTTGTTATGAAAACGGAAACCATTTCGAATTTCAACTTGAACTAAACAACTATTTCATATCTTTCTGCTACTTAAGCCTTAAGTTTTCAGAAACGTTATTTTACACGCTGTGCTGAAGAATTCGCGGTATTCCTGGAACACTTGTCCTCCAGCCTCAGCAAGTGAAACTTATCGCATTGCTATGCATATAGGAAAACCAAGTTATGATTACAACTACTGGCCCAACGAAAAGATACAAGTTGCAGTTGGGTTTTCCAAAGCGCTGGCGAGCAAGTGACTGACCTAATAATTTGTTTTCCAATTACTTGTTTTATGATCCTTTCGAAACGGCTGCTGTTTGTTTGTTTACAATGAAAAGTGGCTTCGGTGATCGGCCTGATTGTTTCAATTGCGGCAGCATATTCCACGGTTCTGTTTTGGGGCAATTAACTTGTACAAATTGCTTTTGATCTAGTACGAATGCCACGAGTTCCATAAATACCCACCAGCGGGCTGCCTTGGCTTTTTATGCTTGACTAACTATGTACATGGCTGGGCATTTTTGTTTATGGCTGCTGTGGCATGGACCAGACATTGAATATGATCTCTGATCTCTGATTTCTGATTTCTAGTTTCGGTTTGGCTTTGCCCACGGCGGTACTGCACTAGTATGTATTTATTTCCAGATCTCCAGAACTGGCCATGTTTGCGCCCGTGCCGCGCTGGGTGTTGAGTATTCCGCCGCTCTGTTTATCTTTCGAGTTTCGACCACACGATCCGTACCTCGTCCACACCGATAGCCTCTATTTATTTTCATATGTCGGCGCACAGTTTATATTGCATACTTCATAGGTGGTCGCTCGATCGATCGATCGATCGATCGATCGTTGGATGGATGCGATTCAACGACTCGATTCAGAACCATCTCTCCGCTCCACGCGGCTCGGTGACTCACCTATCGCCATTAATCGCACATTTGACCGATTTATGAATTATGAATTATGAATTATTCTGGAACACTAGAGTTCTGTGAGGTCATGTGTGCGGTGCGGTGGTGCAAGTATAATGTGAGCAACTATTTGTATCTGGCAGTCAATGTGCGTGTATTTTTATGGGCTAAACAAATCGCCGAGCGAATAATTTGGTTATATGCATCTGGAAATCCGGTCCAGATATCAAGGAAGTCTTGCCACACACGCGTGGGCATCTGCGATTATTTCATTCACTTTTTAATCAGGCTGTAAATATTTAATTGTTTTCCCAAATGTAATGTAAATGTAATTAATGGTGTTTTGTTAACGTAATCAATAGTAATATTCTTATAATCGTTTTTTTAAGCCTTTCGGAACTTTTAGGCTTATAATTCATGTTGTTTCAAATTATGGCCTAATAATTAATATAGTTTTATAATAGTCTATTTATGTTCCTAGTAGTACTGCACTTTATTAGGAACCTTCTTGATTTTGTTTATATATATAGTACTATTGGATCGATCAAGCTTGACTTCAGAACTAGTCAGTTTACATAAAGTGAGTCGTTATGTAAATGGCATTTTAATCTGATTATCTGTCCTAAAAAAATCGTATATTTTCCAAATATCTCGCTGTTTGTTTTTGGCTTCGATGGCCATTAATTAATATTGTTTATATCACTATTAGTTAGTTCTGAATAAGGCATAACACAAATTAAAAAAAAGGCGGAGGATATTTTGAAAATTGATTTTTAAAAACTTCAATATTAAATGGAATATCCCATAAATTCAGGTTCTTAACCCTTTTCTCCATGCTTACAGGTCTTGAGTCCCTGATAGGGCAGGGAGGGGGGCGGCGGGATGTGGACCGCGTGCTGCGAGGACTGGTGCTGCGGGGTGAGCGGGAAGGTCTCCGTGGAGGAGGAGGCCTGTATGCCACCCGATCCCGGCGAGCCGACGTGCAGGCGTGCGCGGTGCTGATGCGGCGAGGCAGGATGCATTTCGGCAGGACACGTTCCAGGCTGGGATCGAATCGGATCGGATTGGAGGGAATCGATTTCCACTCCACGGGTCGGGTATTCAAACGGAAACTGGTCGAGCTGGAGAACTGGAGAACTGCACGCGTCCAGCGCACGTTTTTAAATGAGCACGCCAAGAATGAACGAAGCCAAACGCAGAGGCAAAGACAGGAAATACCAAACTGTTCCACACATCAATCGATGTCTCGACTAGGAAATACCATATACAAACGCACTATATATTTGGATACGTAAGGTGCGAGCCCAAAATATTGACTAATCACCCAAACTTTGATATGGAATAGATCACTTCTTGATTTCCTTTTATATATTCCGAATACCATAGCTCTTTAATTCTAAAAATGGTACAATATTTTATTAAAAAAAAACACACTAAATATGTATAATTAAGTAATTAATAACCTATTTATGTGTATACTGCAGTGACCAAAAAATTCCTTAAATTATAGTATTTATAATTCCCTAAAAATAATAATCTCCTAATTCTTTGATATACTACAAACGGAATGTTTTATGAACACATTGTACCCTGGATCCTATACTTTATTGGGTATTATAAACTGTATTCTCGACAGAGGTGAAAACGGTGGCAGCGGTAATCGTTCGGCTCACTTCACGCATTCTCGTGGCCGAGCGATTTTCCCGCTTTTCCGAATTTCCCGGCACACACAAACGCACCCGGAATGGATCGTTTTGTTGGTAGTTTAGTACTTTTTGTTTAAATTATTGAAACGACCTACGAACAACTTCGCAGATGGAGATCATTTATAAACCACTTCATTGAGAGCATTCGGCAGTTGCTCGGCCATCTTCCTCCTTATTTTGTAGCTTGGGTGGAATGCCCATTTGGAGGTGGGTGGCTGCTCGTTTCCCATTTGTCTAAATCAAGACGCGCGAAGCAGGCGCTGGTGATCTATTATCACCAAAGGTCAGAGTTTTGGACGCACAACAATTGGAGCTCCCGAATCTCCAAGGGAATCTGGCCAGTGGAGGTGTTGGCGGAATGGAGTGGATTCCGTGTTCCCGTCCATAAAGAATAAATGAAGACATTAATGGGTTAACCAGAAGATTTAGTGCAAGCTATTTGAATACACAAGGCTGGAATGCATAAATCATGATTTACACTACCAAAAAGTTTGGACCAATGTTAAGATTTTTAGTAAATGAAATGCTTGAAGTTGCGGCAGTGCACAACAATATTTAAAATATTCATGTTCATAAAATATTCATCTGTTTCTGTATATATCATTCTGTTCTGTAAATATAATTTCAACGTAGTATTAAAAACAAAGTTTTGGCGTGACTTTAAAGATTCCGAGTGCGGACCATAAGTAGTCCCCTAGGTCTTTTTAGAAATAAACGCCATTTCCAGGAATTTATTTATTTTTACGCATTTCTGCTTTATTGTAGTCGTTATATTGATAACAATAAGAAATATGTATATATTTATATCTATATACACATCTTAATGCAATAAATTTGCTTGTTTCAGGCCGATTGCTTGTGATTTTTGGTTTCTGCAGCTTTTTTTGAGTGAGTGTTGCTTGGTTGCGTAAAGTAAATGCGAAGAAATCACCTCGAAGCATCGGCGATGGAGAATATCATGTGTAAAGGTGTATATAGAGCTGATTCGTAAGGCACATTACGGCTAGATTGTGGATTCAATGAGTGATTGCTAATTGCGCTGATGTTGATGGTTGAGAGTCAGATGCGATTGGTCGCAGCCTTCGATATACAGCAGCTTAAGTATATATATATATATAGGGTATATATAGGTGTCGATATCAATTTCGATTTGTAACAAATGCTTGACAAAAATCCAAATGCTTAAACTTAAGAGTTCACTCGAATTTAGTGTAGAAAATCAGTTGGTTTAAATTCAATTTGGCCGCTCAGAAGGGTATCCTAGCCACGCTACAAAGCGAATCCCTTTCTCCTCCTCCTCCTCTAATTGACTGAGCAATATCATAGTTTTGTGTCGTCATCCTATCGCCTCCTCTGCTCTCCGCTTCTCTCACTCTGCTTTCGATCCGGAGACCTTGCATTGGATGCAAGCACATCCAGTCGTGTATAACTTAAACAACTAATAATCATCCGAGGGCGCCGGAGGAGCTGCCGGAGAAGTGGCCGCTCTTGCCGCCTGGCTGTCGTCCGCGCCTTCGTCAGTCGTTGTACATGCCGTCCACCAGAAAGTCCATGCGGCGGTAGTGCCTGGTGCTCCACATGTCACGGAAGCGGCGATACATGATGGTCACCACACCGATGGCCAGTGGAACGGTCAACAGCACTGTAACAATGGGCACCACATACCCGTTGTCCCCGTGATCGGCAAGATTACTTCCAGTGAGCCCCTGCACAATGGGCTCCGGGGGCGTGGCCAGTGGCTGGTTGGGAACGCCCTTTGTACCAGTCTTATCCTGACTCTTCTCCAGCTCCGCCATATCCTCCCCATCCTGGTGTATATCGGTGCTGAAGACCACCGTGGGCTTCTTCAGCTTTGGCGTGGTTGTGATGATGGTTGAATTGATAGTTTTGGTGGTGGCGGTGTTGGTGCTGTTGCTCGAGGATGTTGTTGCGCCATTGGTGGACGAGTTGCCCGGCTTGCTGACGTCCTTCTTGGACTGGCCCTCGGTAACTATGGCTGATCCTGCAGCTGGCTTGGCCGTGGTGGTGGTCGTATTGGTAGGGGATGCAGTGGAGGTCGTACTGGTTGCCTCCTTGGCCACCTTTTGCTCCACAGTCGGCTTGGAAGTGGCCAAGGGAGCGGTGGGCAAGCCTGCGTCCGTGTTCGTGAGATTTTTGGTCTTGCCTGCATGGCCGTCTGCCGTGGCCGTCTTGTTGGAGTTCTCCTGCTGCAACACAGCTGCATCCTTACCTGCCACCAGCTGGCTGGCAGCTCCCGGAGATCCAGTTTCCGATTTCGATCCAGCAATCACTTTGGCCTGCGGCACGTTCGTCGCATTGCCCACCACAGGGGCGTCTTTGGTGGCGGAGTTAGCTGTCTGATTCTGCTGGCCCGCAACCAGGAACAGGCTGCTCAGCAGCCACAGCACATGGAGCAGCTTCATTGTCGCTTGATTTCTTATTCTTATAAGAGTGAAACGTCGCGTCGCCTCTATTCATTTAGTTGCACAAGTGAAGCACCATCGATACCTTATCGATAACCGGCGTCAGTGGTGGGCTTTTTGGCTAGGAACAGGTGAAAATTATGTATCTAGCTAGAAGCTAAACAAAATTGGGTGCAAAAAAGAATTAACTTTTTCGGGAAGAACTTGACAAATGTAATGAAAAAATGTTTGTCTACTCTTTCTTGATAGTAAATAATATACGAAAATTAAGCTACATGTTCTTGGGTTTTCAAATAGTTCGATTTACTAAATAAAATATTTTAAAACTAAATCTTATTAATGATAATTGACTGAACTAAATAAACACTATATATTAGTGAAGTAAATTGTATGTGCAATATGACAGAAATTCGTGAAAAGCTACAAATCTCGCAACTTCCGAGTGGTGGCAACGCTGGTCCGACGGCTGCTGACGTTGCCACTTTCCAGCTGAGCCCTTCCATGTTTGCTTGCGTGTGTGTGTGTATGTGTGGTGCGTGCGTGGGTCTGCCGCATTAAATTTGGATTTTACTCCGACTTGGACCTGACCCGGATTTGAAACTCGGACCACGACGATGATGCGACTGGAGCTGATGCTGGCCGGCCTCCTGCTGCTCTGCGCCACCGGCGCCAGCGCCTGGCACTCGGAGGAACTGGAGATCTTTGACTTGGTCGAGGAGGTAAACCGCAACTTCTACGAGTTCATGGGCATCAACCAAACGGCAACGGGCGCCGAGGTGAAGCGCGCCTTCCGCACCCTGTCCATTGTCCTGCATCCGGACAAGAATCCGGCCGAGGATGCCAACATTCAGTTCCGCAACCTCGTTTCCATCTACGAGGTCCTCAAGGATCCCTCGCGCCGAGAGAAGTACGACCGGGTGCTAAAGGAGGGCATGCCCAACTGGAAATCTGCCCTCTACTATTACCGACGGATGCGCAAGATCGGCCTCTACGAGGGCGCCTTCATCCTCTTCCTGATTACCACCGTGGGCCAGTATCTATTCGCTTGGGCGGCCTACCTCGAGAAGAAGTACACCGCCGAACAGGTGTTTGGCTCCAAGCTGAAAAAGCTGCAGAAGAAGAACAAGAACATCGACATGGACGTGATCCTCAGCGAGATACCGATGCCCTCGCTCCTGAACACCCTGCCCATCCAGATCCCATTGGCCCTGTGGAACATGCCGCGCACCATCAAGAACGGATTCAGCAAGGCCAACGAGCTTAAGGAACTGGCCTTGGAGAAGCGCAGGCAGTAAGTGGGAGGGCTCTACTGGTTACCTTCCGTTTTTCGAAATGAGTCTTCTTGTTGGATTGTAGTTGCCATTGTAGTTGTTTTCGGGTTATACAACTTTGTTCTTTCATTAAGCTGTTCCTTTCGAAAAGTCCAATTCGATGTAACATAGACAATTCAGTTGAGAAACAAAAGATTGAGAAAGGTACTTCCCAAGAAAGATACCCATAAATGCACCTTACGATGACTTGCATCATTTGATAGGTCCCGAAGAAGGAATACATTCAGACTTTGTGTGGCAAGATAATGAAATGAAATGTATTTTGATATAACCACAGATAAGGTACTTGATTTCGATTAGCTTAGAAATCGTGTGGGAATGGTCCCCAAAACGTTTACTGTAGTAGTAACTAATTGATTCAACCTCTTTGCAACCACAGGGAGCTGGAGGCCGCCCGTCGTCAGGAGGAACTAGAGCGGGAGGCAGAGGAGCAGGCGCGCCTGCGCAAGGAGCACAAGGAGAATCTGCGAAAACGCAAGCAGAACAGCAAGGCTCCAGAGAAAACCGAGGATGAGTTGCGCGGCTATTCGCAGATCCAGGCGCGCGAAATGACCGATGAAGATGCAGTTCGTCCTGCTTCCCAGAAGGTATAAAGCCGTCAAATGCTTCCTGTTTTCGTGTTACGCAAAGGATTTGAAACCTTACTAATACAATTCTCTTACTTTTAGAGCACGGTGAGCGGCGGCTTCTGGACTGACGAGGATCTTACCGAGCTGATTCGCTTGGTAAAGAAGTATCCAGGCGGAGCTGGCAGCCGCTGGAACACCATCGCCGAATCGATGAACCGCAGCGTTCAGGAGGTGACCTTCATGGCGGCCAAGATGAAGGAGAACGGCTACCGCATTCCCGGCCAAACGGAAAGCGTGGCCGAGGCTCTGGTCCAGGAGTCGCAGCAGGCGCAGCGCAAGGAGAAAGTGAAGAAGGCAGCTGCAAATGCAGGTGCTTCGGCTGAGAAGAGCATGCTCATTCCGGAGACCAACTGGACGCAGGAGCAGCAGCGCGCCCTGGAGGCTGCGATAGTCAAGTACCGAAAGACGGCCGGCGGAGACCGTTGGCAAAAGATCGCCAACAGTGTGCCGGAGAAGACCAAGGAGGAGTGCCTGGTGCGCTACAAGTATCTCTGCGAGCTGGTCAAGACGCAGAAGCGGGCCGAGGAGGAGGCCAACGAGCCGGACGAGGGTGTAGCCGCCATCGAGGAAGAGCTCCCCGAGGAGGAGCCCCATGCGCCGCCAGAACCGGAAGAGGCGCCAGCCTCCAAGAAGCTTAGCAAGCGGGAGCAGCGACGTCGTAAGCGGAACCTATCCAGTGGCGAGGACTCGGACGATGCATATCAGTACGAGATCAGTTAGTCGGAAAGCCGGCTTCCATTCGGTCCTGCTGCGGATCATCCTCGTGTGGCTCAAATCTAGACGTAATTGAATTTTTTTATATTTTGCATTAAAGACTTTCTGGCACAGCATTCTGGACCTAGCCTATCCTAATCCGCGGCCCGATCCTCCGCCCCTTCCGTTTCCATCACTGTGTGTAGCGCTCATCTTATGTTTTGTACATAATTCTATATTGTAAACATCTAAATGTCGATTAATTTTGCTAAGTAAACGAAATGTGTAAGGCAGTGAAGAGGGACAGAGTTATTCATGGGTTGTTTAGTGGACTTTAAGGTTGGCACCTAATACAATAAATATCAAACTATGGTGCAGCAGCATAATCACTAGATATAAATCAAAAAGCATTAAAGACATACCATATTAAATCAAATGATTATGTACACAATCGCGAATACTTAATTATTATTGCCTCTCTAAACCGCCGTCCGCAAACTTATCTTGCATGTCGTTTGCAGCTTTAAAGCCATCAAAGTCAAGCGCTAACCAATTATAATTCCCAGTTGGCTTAAACCTGTCAGGCATCAAAGAGGAGTTTCCCTTTCAGATTTATTATTCATCAAATCTAATTTGAGCCCTTTCGGCGGTTCTTGCCGATTTTTGGGAACCGCGGTTCGACTCCGCGCCTAATCAAGGATACCAATTCATTATTAATGTGGCCAGCAGGCGGATTATTATTGGGCTGTGTGTGCGGATAACCTTGGAACGATTGGCTTTTAATTACGCTCGGCTTACATTTGATGATTATTGGACTATGACTGTGACTCTGAACGCCGGCAACTCGCTCTTTGTTGGCCCGTCCGGTTGGGCTGCTTATGGCCAACTCGATGCGCTGCCTCCTCCCATTTTGGTCACCATTCGTGTTTGCATTGAACTTAAAACGCTCGTGCACTAGAAACACCAGACTGCGTCAAGACCCACTACCCAAGATCCAAGACTCCAAGCTCTAGTCCGCACTCCGCACCAAGTGTAGGCGCAGCAGAACCCGTCAACTGTCCACCAAACCTGGTTGCAACATGAAAATCAATGCGAATCGAACTTCGAACTGAATGCTCTTTGCTTCGGAGCAAGCGATTGATTAAAATCTTGGGATACAACAAATAGCATTCATTTTTCACACAATGCTCGGTGAAAACAATAACTTTAAAATTAGGAAGTTACTATTTTGGATAATCCATCAAGTTTATTTAGTTAATCAAGCACTTGTTTGTGTGGTATGAAAAGTAATCTCGTTAAATTCCTTAGCCAAAGTAAACGAACGTCATTTTTCATAAGTATAAATATATACAAATGTGGTATTTTTATATGCACTAAATATGGAAATATTTCAAAATACCTTTTATTTGAACTTCTGAAATAATTTCTCGCTTTCCACTGATTATTTAGACCAACCTTATAAAACTATACTTGGAGTTGGTCATCAATTAGCCCTTTTGAACTGATGCTAGTGGAAATTCTTTGGATTCCTGTTTTTTATTGGCTCTTTATTGCGATTACTTTGATAGGCTATATAATAATTATTTTTTATTGCCTAACCAGACAGACTGGTCCCCGTTGCAATTCAAACTAACTAATACGCTCGCCAAAGTGCAGCGAGAAAAACAATAAAAGTGAAAAACCATTTCGAGCGGTTTGTCAGCGTTTCAAGGGCGATTTTAGTCGCAGTCAGCTCGGTTGCATGTGCGTACGTACGTATCTACATACGTATCTCCACAAATTGTGGCCAATGCCAATGGCTGACTGCAGCTGCCATTCGAGCACTTAATTTCCATTGAATTTCCATTTTGCATTTTCCATTTGGCGGCAATCGCCATTTCCCAGCTGAATCGGCTTGGCCTTCAACTTTAAGTTCAAGCGGCAAGTTCACCTGACGTCACGTACCCGCAGGTGGGTCCAATTCTGATCATGACTCGCACTCGGACTCGAGTTCAGATTCTTCTGCGAACGAGGGAAAACCCGAAGACAAGACCCCGAGAAAAATGGAGAATGGAGATGAGAACCCAGAACCCAGAGCCCCATAACAATAAGAACCAGTTTGTTGGCCAGAAGCCGCGCGCTTTGCTCGCGTTTCTCGGCTTGCCGACTTTAAAAACCTGGCGACTATATCGATATGGTGAGTCGAACTCACTCAGTCGAAAACGGAGTGTCAGACGAGGCGGTTCACTGAATGCCACTTAGCATTCAACTAAGCTGTTAAATCAAGCGCGGACCTAGAACAACAGCACTTTTTTTTAATCCCCATATTATTTTTTTGTTGTTTGAGTTCGCGAGTTTTTTTACCCAGAAGAAATGACAATCTATAGCCTGTTGGTGCAAATCATAATCGTTTGTAACTAGCCATCTGAAGAGTCCGACTTCCGAGGAGGAGCAGCAATGGCACCGCCCCAAGAGCAACCGGAGGATGATATTATCACCAAGGTGAGCACTCGACGAGATTGGGAAGCAAAGGTAGCAATTAGTGAGCTAAGCAATTGGTTCTAGGAATAAGGTCATCTGGGTTATAGAATACAGTTTATGAGAATATACTCTATATGGAGATTAAATTACTTTTTACTGGAAGCTCGAGCCTGGAAATCAAGTGATAAATTCGTCTGTTTACAAAACTATTTCTCCTCCTAATGCTATGTAAACCAAACTATCTAGGGTATATGAGCACTAATAATACTGAGTGGAGTGGAGTGAATATACTGCGAGTACATCTAAGACATTTCTGCAAGGAAATATTTGTCATTAATACTTTACCAAAAACAATTAATTTTATTAATTGTTAATCATTAATCTTAAATAGGAGCAGGGTACTCCATCGTCCATTCAATTTCCACGCATCTGGTGTTTATTGTTATAATTTAGCGGAAATTTGCTAATCACCACATGCAGAGCATTCGAATAGATGGAGTTAGCATTGATCTGTGGTTTGGCTAATTCGCCGAGAGGTTATTTCTAAATAATCGAGCTTGTGGGGCATGGTCAAGGCTTTGAAGCCAAAGACAATATAATTTGTATAGTTTTGAATAGAGAACGAATGGTAAGCAGATCCATTTTGGTGGCGCGGAAGTGGAGTACGGCGTGAAACCAGTTGGCAAAGGGCCTTTTTTATTGGGGCTGCTAGTATTTCCCATTAATTTGTGGTTACAACATCGCCACTCGTGTGCTAATTGGTCAGATATGTTCGTATGTAATTATAAATCCAAATACAAGGAACTGTGAAGCGGCTGGTGTGAGTGAACTGCGAATAGTGCATTTTGTGAATAAAAGGTTAGTCAAGGTGAGTTCACCACTCTATTCCCAAAAACAAAACCTTGAGAGGAACTTTTGGCTTTGAAAAGGTGCCCCAGATTAAACAAAATCAAAATATTATGGCACAGATAAAAACACATATGGGATGCTGCCGAGCACAGAATTTGTTTAATAAAAAGAAGTGTGCTGGCAATTAGCAGCATTTGTCATCTAAATTAGTTCGTTTTATTCACACACTTAGCTTTATTAGCGAACAGCAAATGAAGGTTGAACTCTTCGGTGAATGAAGCCCCAGAAAAATCATAATAATAAACAACTTAAGAGCTGGCAAATTGAAAGGGGCTCTATTTCTGGGGTTAATTGGGGTGCGCTGATTTTTGATTATGTCGGCGATCTAATAACGTATACAGTCTGTCCGGGATCTTTCGTTTTCCTTCCGCCAATTGAGGACAAAAAAACACCTGGCAAATGTTGCAATCCAACAAGCACTGAGAAAAACAAGATCACTTGGGACTAGGGACAATAATTAAATGTGATATTGAAGGATAGTAATTATGGCGGGTTCGTACCATTCTGTAAAACCTTTGGCATTAATTTGTTATACATTTGGTTCTTGTAAATGGCGCTCCTATGATGTGCAATACTTTAGTCGCAGTGCATCTACTTAAGCGACTTGACCAGACCCACGAAATTAATGCTGGCCATATGCAGAAGGGGACATTGAGATATGGGCCTGCGGGGAACGCCTCCTTTCATGCTCGTAAATAATAAACAATTGTTTTTGCGACCAAGAGATACAGATACACAAGCTGCGATTGTGGCGACTGCTGCCCAGTTAAGTGTATCTCTATAGCCATAGTGCTACCTAGCCAACTGGCTGGCTCAGGGATATGATGACAGTCGATTTTTCTAGCCAGCTCTTTTGGAAATCGAGTGCCGGCACGAGTATCTCGCCGTATGTAAGTATCTCTGCCTCTGCGCTCCAGTATCTTAATTGTTACTGCGCTCGGCGTTGCGGAACGACGATGTCCAAGGGAGTGGGTACTGGAGTTCCGAAAACGACAAGTCAGAGCCTCAGAATCAGAATCAGATGTACAATCAAAAACAGTAGTGAGCAGCGAACTAGATGACGTGTTGCCATTGCTTTTGGCATCAGATTGTATCTCAACCTTCTATCTATCTGAATGAATAAATATATACCTGTGATTTCATCACCAGAGTGGTTGACCTAAGAGCATAAAGTTGATATAAGAAGAACAACAATTGGTGATTTTCCTATAACCATTTGTGTACTTCTTTCTTGTACAAATACACATCCAGTTAACAAGCCAAGCAGCGAGCAAAACAAAGAACCAAACAAATCTGCCAGAACTTCCGCATATTTCGTTTTGAATTTCAATTTCGGACAACAAAAAACTTGCCCACTCATCGCGCCCAAATAAATTAATAACAATAAAGTATTGAAGTTACAAATGGAAGCCAAACGAGAAGCTCTTAACGCTCAATTTGGCGCTTTGGAGCTCGATCGGTGGATCGTGACGAGTCCCCCCTCCATCCACCCCCTCCAAACATGGTTCGAGTGCCATTGGAGGTCAAGTTCAGGGAACACCAGTTTATGGTTACTATTCCATCTTCTGCTGTGCCGGAGCTTCACGATTCGGATTGCAGACGGAGGTGTCAAAGTATCTGATGGCTCAAGTATTTAGATACTTTGGCAATGCCGCTTGCGCCGAGCCAGGAAATGATGATTTTCTGCACCGAATTCGATTCACCGAATTCCACTTTTAAATTTAAGGTTCGAAGGTTTGGGCTATTGTTTGAACTTAAATTCGGGTCTTTACAATATTGCTCAGCAGTATTGAATTGCAGCCCAAATGCTTTGAAAGTTGAATGCAACATCCTGTTTGCTGTTTTTCGATGCCTGTTAAATGAGATCGTATTTATTTAATTATTTGATTGGCTAATATTTTCAGAAGGCACCTTTTATGCAGTAATTATATTATGCTACCGGAATAGCAAGTTCAGTGAACTTTGTGTTTTGCCAGTTTAATATATTATGTAAATTGTATTCCAGTGTGAGAATTTACTTGGAGCACAGCAATTGAGTCCCAAATGTGTATATTAAAACACTTGAATAAAGGGAACCCCGTAACCCAATGAAGGTGTAAAATATAATATAAAATTACTTTCTATTGACGTAACATATCCCATTGTTTTTCTCTGTACGTAGTATAAATTATTATTACCCAGTCACATTTTGATTGTCCGATTATTATTTCATGCACGATTTATATTAGATGGGTTCATTGTGTTTGCTCTTTTTGCCGCTTGTAACTCAAAAAAAGGTGATACATATTTCTTGGACCTTGAAGGTCATCGTCAGCGGACTTTACAACTTTATTTGATTTATGGTAATTAGCAGCGTGCACCTTGCCTAATTGCAGATACCCTCGATAATTGGATTCCTGAACTTGGACTGACTGGCGACAAATGGAGCTTTGGCCCCCCTTTTACCCCAAATTCGATGAGCTGACCTAGAGAGCCAAGGCTGAAGTGTTGAATCATGAGAATTATAGCTGGAAATCTTTCATAATCCTACCGTAACAGCAAATGCTTAAATAAACGAGCAATGGAGCAAAGATGTGGGGTTCTTGTGTTTCACTAAGAAATGCCTGAAAGTCGGCAATGGACTTTGGAGCTAATGGGCTTTCAAATAGTTTGGCAAATCGTATTGGCCAATCGTATGGACAACACTGGTCGATAGTGACAGGACCCAACTGACATACTGCCAAGATTCAGAGAGAAATGGAGAAAAAACCAAGTAGGTAATAATGACGGCACGGACAAAAAAATATGTAAAACCGAGCGACGATCTGATCTGTGAACTGGCTACCATCCTAGGTTGGCAATTCGATTGCATTCATAGTCATCCATCGAAGATCGAAGTGAGTAATCCGTGGGGCAGCATATACAGGGCTAAAACCCGAACGAGAACCTGGACAAAGGAGGATCGGAATCGGGATCGGTATCGGGATCGGGATCAACAGTTAGCACCGCGGGGCGAAGAGAAGCGGAGCGGTGAGAGTTGGAAGCTGTCCTCGAGGAACTCTTCCCGGAGGCAGAAGAAATGTATTCGGCGGTGAAGCCGCTCTCCAAGTATCTCCAGTTCAAGTCAATACGCATCTACGACGCCGTCTTCACCATCCACTCCAAGTGCACCGTGGTCATCCTGCTCACCTGCTCGCTGCTCCTGTCCGCGCGCCAGTACTTTGGGGATCCGATCCAGTGCATCAGCGAGGAGAAGAATATCGAGTACATACAGTCCTACTGCTGGACCATGGGCACCTACATCCTCAAGCTGGACGACTTCAGCGAGCAGCAGCTGGCGCTGGTTCACCCGCCCCAGGAAGCAGCCACATCCTCCTCCTACTCCTTGGCAGTCTCCTCCGACATTGCCACCTCCTCTTCCACCGCACCGCAGTCATCCGCGAGAGTGCGCATCAGATCCCACTCCAGGTCGAGTCTGCGCAGGATTGGGGAATACAACGAGGCCTATGCCCGGGCCATGTTGATAGCCGAGGGCGTGGGCCCCGAGGTTCGTGGCCAGACGGAGCGGGAGTACCTGCGCTACTACCAGTGGGTCATCATCCTGCTGCTCTTCCAGTCGTTCATCTTCTACTTCCCCTCGTGCCTGTGGAAGGTGTGGGAGGGCCAGCGGCTAAAGCAACTCTGCTCGGAGGTCGGCGAGGCGCTCCTCTCGGAGGAGACCTACAACACCCGGCTGCGCCTGCTGGTCAAGTACTTCACCACCGACTACGAGGACATGCACTTCTGCTACATGGCCAAGTACGTCTTCTGCGAGGTCCTCAATTTCCTCATCAGTGTGAGTAGGGTTTACACCATGGAGTTCAGCGATAACTAAGCGAGAATTTCATGATGATGATTCTAATTGGGGTTCATTACGAGGAGATAAAGTTCAATCCTTACAGATGATTCCAACAAGTATGAGTTTAAGGGAGTTTGCGCTTAAACCTGGGCTCAGTTTGGATATAACTTTCTTATCTTCTGTAGTATTTTATATACTTATATATTACACGAACAAGGTTCCCTTGACTACCATGATTTATATAAAGCCTATGGCAACCTATCCACAGGTGGTAAACATAATGGTGCTGGAGGTGTTCCTGAACGGATTCTGGTCGAAGTACCTGCACGCGCTGGCCACCATTCCGTTCTACGACTGGGATCGCTGGAACCGCGTGTCCTCGAGCGTCTTTCCCAAGATCGCCAAGTGTGAGGTGCTCAAGTTCGGGGCGAGCGGCACGGCGAACGTGATGGACAACCTGTGCATCCTGCCGCTGAACATCCTGAACGAGAAGATCTTCGTCTTCCTGTGGGCCTGGTTCCTGCTGATGGCCCTGATTTCCGGCCTGAACCTCCTCTGCCGGCTGGCCATGATCTGCAGCAGGTATCTACGGGAGCAGATGATCCGCAGCCAGCTGCGGTTCATGTCCAAGCGGCATGTGAAGCGCGCCCTACGGGACCTCACCATCGGCGACTGGTTCCTGATGATGAAGGTCAGCGTCAACGTGAATCCCATGCTCTTCCGGGATCTAATGCAGGAACTTTGCGAGCTGCGCACCTCCTCATCGGGCAGCACCCTGGAGAGTCCCGTCTAGGAGCGATAGTGATCAGAATCAGGATCAGGATCAGGATCAGGCTCAGGAATATGATTAGGATCCCCAGATCGCCTCGTCCTCCGGCTGCCCACTCCCAATTGACGTTGCCGTCGTTCGTTGATTCGCGCCCTTTTGCTTACCTAAATTTGTATATTTCCTCTCCATTCCTTTAAAAATTCTGTACTTCCATGTTCTAAGACTATAAGCGAGGATAAACCATTTTTAGTCACCTTATGGCGTGCTGAACATTTGGGTATGACTGCTAGATGTTATATTACAGGTAGAGGTTCCTCAATTCTAATTCCTAGTTTGTGCTTGGTAGAAGGCAGAAAAACTCGAAATTTTCGGCGTATTTTTGTGAGTTTTAAATAGTTGAATTCATATTAATCAATATATTTGTTGAACCATTTATTGGTAAGCTATATGTAAATTTGTGCTGTGATTATTAGGCTTACTTCGCATTTTTATATATTTCTAGTTCGCTTCTATATGCGAATTGACTTTGTGCTCAGCCGCTGCCTCAACTTTTGTTGCCTTTGCTGCTGGCATTTAATGTGCATTGTTTATAACTAGTTGCTGCCATAATTTCGTCATTTATATTTTGCTGGGACGATCCACAGGCCCCAAGCCCCAAGCCCCCAGATTCCCGCGATCGTCGTGGTTTCAGCATTGTTTTGCGCACATTAACAACGCAACTCGCTCGCATTTGGCCGCCTTCGCCACGCAACTCACTCACTCGCACTCACACTCACTCGCACTCGTTCAGGTGAATGAATGTAAATATTATTCAAAAGCCATTCGTGTGGCGTTTAATATGCCCTGCACTCACGTGGGGCATATCAGCTGCAGAGCCGCTTCGCAGTGACTCACCAGCTGATAAGGGAATGCTACACAACTATTTATTTTGCTGCATAACTGAATATGACGATCCTAACTAAGTCCGAATGAGACACACTTCATTATCGTATATGTAAGTTCTCTAACAAACTCGAACACTCGAAATTGATAAAGATGGTGGTTGCGATTGCATGCATTTGAATTTAGAATTGACACAATGAAAGCAAATAAATATTGAACCTGATTAGAACACTTAAATTAATTATAAGATTGCTTTTTTTTGAAAGGTTTACAAAATATTTGTATCAACGCTTTGGTTACTTTTGTAAATATGACGCACCTTCTTTATAGGTTTTTAGGGAAGCAAGTTTACAGAAGGGCAGAAATAAAATCTTTTCAAGTAGAGTGGCTTAAAGCAGATATAGCTATTAATACACTAATATGTTCCCACTATATTAGGGGGTATCAGGACGTCGGTGCTCTACTTTCTATCGCAGAGGTGCGGCCGGTGTTTCTTCAGCTTTTGGTTACATCTATGTACTATATGTAGGTATTTTATTTCCATATCTATAGCACCCGTATTCCTATTCCTATTCACATTCGGTATTGTTTTGCGCCGCCGTTGTTTTGCTTTGGCTTTTCGGTTTTCGGTTTTTGGTTTTCGGTTTTCGGTTTTTTCGGTTTTTGGTTTCTAATTTTTTGTTTATTCGCTGCTGCCGTGTTTGTGTGCCTTGAATGTGCCACTTGGCCAGTTAGTCGCTCCGTAGTTTGGGCTCGGTGTTTTGGCACTTTAGTCGCCTGTCAGCCGCCGTCCCTTTGCCACTCGCTTTCGTTAATTTGCTGTTGATTTTGAGCTGATTTCGAGTTGCGTTTAATGTGACGCGATGCATTTAATTGCGGCGCGTACGTGACGACTGCAGCTGCGCTTGTTGTTGCATCTTCGGCACTGCATGAATAGTTGGCTATCAGTGGCACTTTCTGCTGGCCAGTGGGTAACGCAATCGTAATTGGCACTGCGGAGATAAAAAATCAAGCGCAAACACTTGTGGATCTCCAAAAAATATATTGAAAAAAACTTTTTTCGCTGGTAACATACTCAAGTAAGCCTAAATAATAACGAAATGAAATGACAAAAATCGAAACAGCTTAAATTCTTGGTACACAACAGAAAATTCAAAAGAACAGATGCACCTTGTTGTGATTTTTAGAATATCTTATCGCGTACTTGCGAAATGCATCAAGTATGGTATAGCTAAATAGGCGCGACTTGATATTATTTAAGTGTTTATTTCAGAGCAGTTGCATTATCACTTTGTCAAATGCTCGCCACTTTTATTTTGACTGCAGCTGTGCGTGTGTGTGTGGCACACACATTTTAGCGCGTGATAAGAGACAACGAAAACATCCATGGCAATAAAAGCAACAGCACAACGGCGGGCAGTGATAAACACTGCGCGACAAGTGTGTAAGGCGTTTGAGCGCACAGTGGAATTGCATCATCAAGTCGCGGAATATTGCCTGATTTGTTTTTGAATGGCTATTTTCGGAGAAAGTTGTGATTGATAAGCCCCCGGACTGTCCATTTTTTCGTTGGCCAATTTGTGTCACTATTGTTCTCCATCTGGCAGCTGGATTCGGGCTTTCGATCTATACAATACGCCGCACATTGTTGCGGGGTGAATATGTAAATAAATAAAAGTCAACACGCATAATGAGTCGCACAGTGGTCGCTGGATAAATCGATATTCCCTGCTAAATCAGGGGGTTCAGAAGTTTTGGGAACCTGTTCCCATGAATCAATAAATCAAATCAATAAATAACTATGAAAAGCGGCCCTTTAATAGCTTACCTCAAACTAGTTTTAAACGAAATGCGTAGTGTGTGGGGGTTAATTTACTAGCATTTACTAACATAAAAATATGAAGAGCTTGACAAAAAATTAATTAGTCTGCCTACAACTGATGATTAAAGGCTTTGTAACATGTTGTAGTTTCTGTGAGGCTGCTCATACGATTAATCGGCAATTAATTAATTGTAACCACTGTATCCAGCTTGACGTGCATTTCGTCGCCAATAAACCACTGTGCGCCTAGAAGACGGCCATAAACAAAACAAAAACCGAAAAAAAGACCAACAAAGTCTGCAAAAAGAAGCAACAGCCAGAGGAGAGGCAAGAAAAGCGATTACGCCAACAGCCGCTGCTGCTTCAGTCGGCGTTGCAGTCGCGGTCGCGGTCGCGGTCGACGCTAGCGGTAAGGTAACGGTGGCGCTTGAAGGCGGTAACGCTGCCAAGCGATTTAGTTGGCCGCCGCTGCCCGAACGCGTCTCCCGTGCTTTAATTCTCAGTTTTCGATACGAACTCGCCATGGTCTAGTCCCCATTCCAAGTCATTCCATTCTCATTTCCATTTCCACATCCATTGGCCTCGTGTAATTATGATATTTTCCAGTGGAAATCAATTTTATTATTGATTTGTGTGGCCCCAGAAACGCTCCCCCGCAGAAAAGTGATAAGAAGTGGACGCGTTGCTCATGCTTTTGCTTTCTTCCGATGTTTTCACGTTTCGTTGTAGTGCACTGAGGAAAAAAGTGCAATCTACAATAAGGCTGATGGAAAATTAGGGCTACGCTACATCAAATGGCTAGGAAATAACTTCTGAAATCGCTTTGTTACACTAAAAATGTAGTCAAACTCAATTCGTACAAACCCAAAAACGCAACGCCCACCAACCAACCCAATTTCTTTTCAGTGAATCTCTCCCACACAACAGAACAGACATAGACACAAAAGAGTTTTAACAAAATCCATGAGTGTAAAGTGAAAGAGCGAAGAATTAGTGAGGAGCAGAATCGTGCAGATTTCGAGCGTGTGATATTAGTGTTTTTTGTACAGTGTTTTTTTTGCACAGTGTGATCATGGCCGGCGATGCGGAGAACAAAAGGGGCTATCGCACCATATTTCGCAGCATATCCCAGGTGTTCTACGCCAATGCCAAAAACTCAAGTAATACCAGCAGCAGCAGCAACAACAACAACACCATTATCAGCTACAACAACAACACGATTGAGAACAACAACGACGGCATCGGCCGGCTGACAGTCACGCTCACAAGCATAACACCACCCACAGCCACTTGGACGTCCACATCGCCGACCATCTCCACGTGCACAACTGCGTCCGCATCGGCGGGCTCATCCACCGCATCCTCGTCGCCACTGGCCAGCAGATCAGCACGATCGGCGGAGAATATATCCTGCAGCGAGTGTGGCAACCCAGATCCGTATCAAGCCCAGGACAAGGACTCGACAAAAGGTCAAGTCCTGGCTCCCGAAGTGCCGGCTAATGTTGAGCTACGGACAGCAGCGCCGGTTCCGGCCACCAGTGCGGACCAAAACCAGAAGCTAAGGGCCAGTTCCATGCTGGACCTGACCTCCAACCAACGCCACCAGAACGCCTTGAGGGTAAGTCCCAACTCCTAGACACATACATATGTACATCAGTTTGTGGTATGGCAACCGCCTTTCAAATGGTATTAGCCCGACCCATCCATCAAGTTCGTGCAAAGGGGGAAGTTCTGCCTTTGGCCTTTGACTTTTCGCTTCCTCGATATTTCGTAATATATTTATTTGGCCACTATGCATGATAAGCCAGTAACTTAAAACTGCCGATCAGTGGTAATAGCTCTTTAAAAGACCATTTAAATGTAAATTAGGGCTGTGTGCCGTAAAGAGTGAAATTCCCTGAAAAGCGATCTTCGACCGATAACTCGTATCAGCTTGATTTATCGCCGATTCATAGGATTTTCCCGTACCATGAGTTTCACTGGGCCACCGATTTAGGCCCGTTTACGGTCCGTTAGTGGTCTTTTTTCATTGGAGGGTTCGGAATGAAATTTGCATTCCCAGTGAAAGTGAGACCGGAACGGGTTCCGAACGAAATCCGTTGGGTCCGAAAGTGAAAAGCGATTTTCATTTTCCACTGCCGCTTCTTGGCGTCCTTCAGATCACTTAGCTTGCAGATCAACTCATTGTGATAACTAATTTGCTTTTTATGCACGGCTGTATATTATATATTGAGGTAGCCCTCTGTTGAAACTGTATGATGATATGGTATAAATCATAATTACACTTTCAACTAAGATGACCCCACGGGGACCACTTTGAATTCCATAAAGCCATTGGCGATTTCTCAATTACCCAATAAATCATACATGTCATGGGCAGGCAAGCAAGTTAATTTATATCAAAAACACTTGATGTACATACACATGTTTTTACATTTCCGTTTGTACGAAGAATGCGATAAAAGTATGTACCGATTTCGTAACCTTAACCTTGATGATTACTGGGCAAGTTTAGTGACCCATTTCCATGGGATAAACTATAAATGATTGTGTTGCTGGGGGAAACCACTTCCTGCCAAAGTTGGTGAACATTTTCACATAATTTTACAAAATGAATTTATACACTATTTAATAACTACCATGAATCAGTTTAGGTAATATGGGCTTGTGTGAGTATCGCTTGGGATTGAATATGGCGATTGCAGTGGCACAGGGGCTTACATTGTGCCTGCCATCCGAAAAAAGCGTCTTAACCCCCTGAAGCCCCCTTAACCCATGCGGTTTTCTCACTGATGCAATGCCAAAATGCATTGCGCTTGGTCTTATTTCGAGCTTTTGTCTGCTTCGTTTTCCGTTGCGTGTTTTGCCGTTCGCCTTTGCCTGCTTTATCATCTTTTAGTCCGTCTTCGTTTTAGGTTTAGTTTTCATTTTCATTTCCATTTCCATTGTGGGCTTTACTTAGCGACTAATTGCGAGTGCAGCGCAGCTGCGCATGCGTGTTGCGCGCGACTTGGCAGCGATTCGGGCGCGTTTTCCCAGCGATTTTTGCATTGCGAAATGGGAGACGAAAT